ATGCATCCAAAATACTACATTTTCACACACTCGCAATTATACTCGCGCTGTGAGCGTAAGCAACACTCATTGCTGAATACTAACACGCCTAAATAGCACCATCGCTGGAGCACTACCACCATGTATATGCCACTATTCAAACGACTGCGTAAAAACGATTTACATCAGGAAATGTTTTTTTTATGTGATTCTTACCAGGGCCCGTGGAGTAAAGTTCAGTCTCCAGCTATGATCTACGATCTCTCGAGCATCTCTAATTATGCACTTTATAATCCTTGCCTGCAACGTCAACCTGTTATAAATGTTTCCTTTTAGGCCACAGTAGCATCGATGAATGTGTTGAGGTTTATTTTTGTTATTCTTCCATCTTGATTTGAACTCACCTGATGACGGACGCTTGTGTTGCGACCGAAACGTCGTGTTCTTTTATTTATTTTTCTATCTACGTGACTTTACCGAAAGAACCAGAAAGTATTTGTTATTCCTGTTGTGCTTCTGCACCACTGCCAACGCAGCAGGAGCAGCGACATCGCCAAATCATGCATGACCACTGCACACAGTGCAGTGGTGCAGCTGTCGAGCATGCAGGTAGTGCAACTGCACCGGGGCCCAGGCGCCGGGCTACGAAGAGGATGGTGGGGGCGAGGATAGGACAGGGGGACGACCCCATTTTCATTCCCTGCACCAGGGCCCATGGCCCCATATTGGCAACCACGGGACGCCGCTGATACAGTGCAATTAACAACTTGAGGCACATCAGAGCAACGTGTGCTCGCGCCAACGACCACCGTGAACCCAACGCCAGGCTCAATCGGCACGGCCGCCTCTGCACTTAGCCGCACTAATTGCTGATTACGCCAAGTTGGTAATGCAATATGTAGGGTGGTAGTCTTGGAGACGGCAAACACGGGCGGCGTGTGGGGTGGCCGAGAGAGGAAGGGCTACATTGCAACCGCCCCCCTCTCACGGAGTCGCCAAATAAATCAACCCAAGCGCGTTACCCTGTTTAAACAGAGCAGCAGCAGCCGGGCGCGTTGTTGTCGCGATAAGTGCCCGTGTGAACGAGGCTGTTGTGGTGGCCGACTGAACTTGTAAATGTAAGACCATCGGTGACTGAGTGCCACCTGCAAACTCTCGGAGTGCCATGGAGGGCTGGTACAGACATAGGAGTCGAGTCTGCTGTCAAACACTGAAAAACATTGTTCGAATTTGGGTTGGTAAAATTATTTTGTGGAGGCTGATTTTGTTCACAAATATGGCAAGTGCAGTGAAGTTATACACTACTGGAAGCCCCTTGACTAAACATTGAGAAATTCGTTAACAGAGTAATTCCCCTCTAGTGTAGTGTGATGGTGAAGCCAACATTCAGGCAGGCATAGCCCACTACCGGTTAAACCAAGTAATAAACACACAAGAGTGGATACTACTTTGCAAGCACTAGAGAGGGCACACTGGGGCAAATTTTCAACCATAACTAAGACCATGAACACATCCGCCCAGATGTCACCGTGGCTGGCCCTATCATCTTTCCGGAGATGATAACAATGAGTTGCTATAACATTGTGGCAAATTAACGGATGTCGTTCAGATGATGAACATGGCCCGGCCAGGGAAATGTGGAATTGTCACTGTTGCGATAGTAACGCCAAGTGAGAGACGAACACCGGGGCATTGCTCTCTTGAGAGGGGATAGTTTGACTTTGACAGAGCAGAGTATACAGGCCTACTTTAGTCTGAGATTTTTAAAATACCGGGTTTAATAACGGACTCACTTGACAAAGCTGCATATATATCGTGTGAGCCTACGTTCGGTTTGTCTACAATACATGTTCAAATATAAACCTTTTAAATGATGAACTTCTATAAAGGACAAAAGCAATGCGATGGCCTTAATTGTAATCTCGGGAGAGACGTACACGGTGCTGATGACTGGGCCAAGCACAAACCGACCACTGTGCTTTTTTACTGCTGCACTTAATGGTTAATGCCAATTAGCATAATTAGTTAGCTCGCCGCAATGCTGCTCGTGCGTGTGCGTGTCTTGGGCGAGGGAGCACATCTGGCCTTCCCGTGTGGTTTTTGTCAATTAGGGCCCCGCCTCTCATCCTCACACTGCACACGTGTAATAATCGTTCTCTCGATTAAATATCGGTGGGGTTTTTTTTTTTAATGAGCCTTGATAGCCACCTCCTCACTGCGGAGTTGTCAAACACGCACACGGCTGATGTAACGCCGCTGAGATACCACGCACAAAAAACTGATAAAACACAGTGCGCTACGCAAACAGCTGATGCAAAGAACGCACAGCTGATGAAACACAACGCTCCGTACACACACACAGCCGCTATAACTAATGTATGTACAGTCAATACAAAAGGCTCACTAATACGCGCGGCACAGAGACCCGATCAACCTAATTCTGTAGCAGCAGAGGCTTCTGTCATGGCAGAGACCGCCAACGCTTTAACTCGACTTGCGGTGCTGATGAGTCGAGGTTAGGGTGAGGAGACATTGGGTGAGGAGCGATACCCCCCATTATATAAAAAAAACACCACAGCCAGCAGCACTGACCGTGTCCAGAGTCAGAACCCAGCAGTCGTGCTTGCTGGCCGCGTGGAGACATCAGCAGCAGCAGCAGAATGTAGGGCAGGAAGAGCCGTGTGCTCCTGCCTGTCCCCATCCCGGCACCAGCAGCAGGAGCAGCGCGCTCACGGCCCGAGCCGCTTGCACATGATGGTCGCTCCGGCCCCCACGCCTCTCCCCGAAGCGTCAGGCACACGCGATGGTATAATGCTGGTGATGTTTTCGATAGTAATGTCAATGATGCCTAATTCTTATCAATAGAACGATACAAGGCGTGGAGCGAGCGGCGCGGGCAGCGGGACGGCGAGCGCTTTGGCTCTCCCTCGGCGAGGGGGAGAGGGGAGCCGGGTGGTGGGGGGGGATGAGTGCTGCGGTGGAGAGAACGGCGAAAGAAGGAATCGCTCGTGAGCAGTGACGTCACCGTTCATTGACAATGTTCGCTCGGCTCGTCCACGGTGCCCGCTCACGAGCATCATGACGCGATTCGCTTAAGGTCGCGGCTTAAATTATTCGCCTTTGAGCAGCGAACAGATGCGGAAATAATATCCACCAGCGTATCACGACACACACACATATATATCTGCTAAATGTACAGACGGGCACTGCATCGCCTTCGCGAGCGCCGCACGCGCCGTTTGGAGGCGACCACGCTGGGCTCACGCGGCGTCAAACACCGCCGCTTTGAGGGACGTTATCGCCTTCATTACTCATTACCAACAAACATGTTCACGTATTTCTGCTATACACTGTCAAATAACGAAGACGGTTAACGTAACACGTAGGTTTTGCAGTGAATGACTCAGTTGATTGTTGGGTCACACCACGTAATGATGAGCAAATCTATGCGATTGAGCGAATGCTGAACTTATTTCGCACCGTATTATCTAACCGTACTAATCGGAGGTGCGGGATTAGGAGCCCTCCACCACCCAATTGTTATCGTTTCAGCTCACCTGTAAGGTGAAGAACAATCCTCACAACGAAATGTAACAATCAGTGGCGTAGTAACGACATCAGATACGGGGGTACGGCACTCGGTCTGGTGGAGCCCCAATATTTGATTCATCTCGCACGGTCTCATTTCGGGCTATAGGTCGCGGCTCATCTTCCCGAATCACATTATTACGCTCACGGTCTCCAACACTCAACGCTGTAGGGGCGCTACGTTTTAAATAAGCTTTTGTTCTTTTACACTGTGAAAAAGTATCTCATCGACAACAGGTTTTTTATTTTGGGTTAGAGCGCGTAAAGTGTCGTTAAACCCGCCACGACCCGAAACAGCCAATTAGTAAGGTTTGTCACGTAAACAGAACATGCCAATTCGTCCCTAGTACAGCACACCGGTGTGTTGGAGATCCAAGCCACAACATTTACAATCTGAGTACGACGTTTTGCCAGTAATTAACTAGCTTACAACTAAATGGCTCTCAAACACACCGGTATGCTGTACTAATGATGAATTGGCATGTTCTATTTACGTTACAACCCTTTACTAGTTGGCTGTCGGGTGGTGGCGGGTTTAACGGCACATTTATATATTTATATACGCACTCTAACAAAAAAAACCCTTTATTATGGATATTGGTCGCGAAAGCCGACGTGTTAAACTAACACACCTCATGGTGGTTGTCAAGGAAGCCCCAACTCGTAGCTTTGACCACCGGGGGGGGGGGGGGGGGGGGGGTCAATTAGATGTAACTTTTCGTTTGAAATTGCATCGAACATCAGAACAAGAAGCATAAATGCAGAGTAATAATACAGGAAACAGAATCCATTCCGACTTCCTGTATCGTTGTCCTCATGCTCGATGTAGCTTCAAACTAAACGTATATAATTGATACATTTGTGAGTATTTTTCAACTTATTAGTAAGCTCATACAATAGTAAATTGGCGAGTTAAACGCATGTACACGCTACAATGTGTTTGGCTGTGTCGAGCTCCCAATGTCAGATTTGGAGATCTTGACATCGCCTAACCCAAAAATCGATTATGGAGACGGCACAAGCAAAATACCACAAATTACACCAAAACCACAGCTCACGTGTGGTTTCTTTCATTTAATTGTTTTAAACCATAACCACATTTCATTCCCTTCTCCAAGTGACAGCCTCAAACGGCTACACTCCCCAATCTCCCTCTCATGGGCATCCCTTTCTCAAGTTGTAGGGGTTATTTGACCACACGTCACCACGTTGATAAATATCAGGGAGCATAGACGTAGAGTATAACAATGGATGTTGCTGCACTGCCCACAATGCAACTCTGCAGGCTATAACGGCCGTTATTCACAGCGGTTACCCATCAAAACATATCCACGCTCATAACCAGCTCTCGCTTCTGAAATCTGACGAGATCGGCTGCGTTCTGGGTTATTTGATCAATGGAATTAGGTAAGAAAGCACAACAAATACACAAATAGGAAACATGGTGTTTTATAGCACCTAAAATATATGACAAATCCAGTGAAGGGATGCTCATCACAAGTCACAAGACAACGTGATCAACAAAAACATTTATATGCACAGCGGACAAGAGATGAAAATGTTGACTGCGAGGGAAAGGAATTTCTTGACCATGTGTGTGCGTTGAACATCTTTCTTACCGTACGTAGCCACCGTGATAATCGGAGGTGCGAATAAGCAGCAGAGGACATATGAAAAGTGGGGATGGGATAAAGAAGTTAGGCTTTGAAAGAGTAGTGGGAAATTAAGATGAAAGGAGAATGTGTGTTTGATGTGCAGGTGAATGCAAAATAAGTGAATGCCATTTACTATATAACAATGTTATGAATTCAGCAATATAATTAATATTATAAGCATCTGCTAAATGACATAAATATGGTACTACAGGGCCATTTGATTTACTACAAATTTTACATTTCATATGCACTATGAAGAAAAACTTTGCATGCATATGCAGCTCTTCAGCCTTGTGTGTGAGCAGTTAAGTGTTGGGATGGCAAAAGTATTGACAGGATTCGTCGGTCCTCTTCATACAAAACCCTGAGAGATAGAGAGAGCACAGTGAGCCAGCCTGTGCAAACAAAACCATGACAAACACAACTCGTATAAACAATTGCAACAATTTATGTGAAAACAATAGGAATCAGAAGGATGACTCTCGATTTAAAGGCACCAAAACATTTACATAACTGCGGTGTGATCTAGACACTCATTAAATGGACACAGACTAACCCGATCTCGAATTTGTACACTCCTAGCTGCCACTGCTATTCAGTGGCCTAAAATAAAATAAAATGTTTTGCTCCGGATGACCACTGCAAAGTATTATCTGTATTTTGATTTTGTGTGCTGATCTTAAAGGTGCATTGAAAAATGTGATACTTCGACTGATGCTCCTGTTGTTTGTGGAGTGACTCATGCAGCCAGCTGTGGCTCTAGGGTTTGGTGTTACATGTTATTTATGTAGTTTATTGTTAAAAATTCGGTCACAGTTCCTATGATCACTGTTACATTGCATTTATGGTTTTATTTTGGTGATTTATAAAAGTCTGTTGGTTTGGCCATGTTTTTGTTTATTGTAGTACGGAGTTAGACTGATGGCCTTAATCTAAGTTTTCTTGTTGTTGTTTGACTTGCATCCCACTGGGATTTTTGCACACAGCGTTGGTGTACGGTGTTATTTCAGGAATATTTTGATGTTTTTTCCTGGATTTTCTGTTTGCACATGCACAAAGTCACTTTAAGATGTTTTCTTGTTCATGTTTTTGTTTTTTTGTTTGTTGCGGTTGCACCCGATTCAAGAGCCGAATGGCTCACAGGGCTATACCAAATAAATGAAACTATGAACTATGAATTTACACCTACACACCATGAAATAAGCCAGTCCATGTGTCCCAATGTGCACACCCAATTTGTCCAACAATAACACAATATCCAAAAGTTTTCGTGGATAAATACACTAAACCTCACTGTCAAATTGGAAAGTCCAATTAAACAAGACTGAATCGCAAAGCACAGCAGTGAGGCTCTGAGAAGCCCTGGTGGTACTTCCATACTGCATGCCTGGGAAGTTTACTTCCAAACAACGTACCTGTCAACTGTGTTGGATTCGTCCATCATGGAGGTGGCGTGAATGTCCAGCTGATTCTGGATGGCCTTGGCCACGGAGCCGATATCTCCACCTCGTCCTTTGGCTGAAGGGGAGAGAGGGAGGTAGGTGCAGGAGTTGTGTCAACCCTTCGCCGCACACAATCCCATCAAACTGAGGCCCCTACCTTGGTGTGCACTCAAGCGAGACAGCCGTGATCAATGGTGTTGAATCGAAGACAAGATGCCAAATGCACACACTCTTCTCCAACAAGGGAAGGAAGCCTTCCCCATGCGTACCCGTCTTTGCTCCATCATCCTCTAGCACTCTGGTCACGTATGCAAGGGAGCAAATGCTCATGCGCGTACTTGGAATTGTATTAGACAGTTCTGGCATCTGAAGGCAAGCAGATGCCAATCTTGTGCGTGACTTGGAGGTAGACCAAGGAGATGCAACAGGAAAGTAATTAGGAGTATTGCAGCTGTCGGGCCACATGCAGTGCTGACACCTCCTGTCTCGCACACCTCGTGGGCCACTGTCAACTGCCTGCCTCTCACACTGGGCAATACAAATTCAATAAATATTCAGCAGGTGCTGAGAATATGTATAGCAGATTTTTTTTATGTTCATTTCTTAGAACACTTTAAAATTATGGAGAGATAATAATATTCCATTGCAGATAATTGTATTGTATATTTTTTTATGATATTTACGTAAAGTATTAGAAATTACGATTACAAAGCCATTCAGAAAAGGAAAGTAAAAAATGCACTGCCAATTGGCTCTCTCTCCACTGTCAAGCAGAAATTAAAAATGTAAACATGAAAGTTAAATTAGTTGAAAGCTTACAACAGTGGTCCCAAAGCAGGTCAGAAATCAGGCTGGCAAGAGACAGGTCACTGCCAAACCTTCCCATAGACACTTGTTGGAACACGGCCAGTTGGTACACTCATTACACTGTTGGACATAGGCCATTTGAGAGGTATGCACACATGGCACAGATGATAATGGGGGTGTGACAACTTGTCGACAGTTTAGTTTACCACATCACCTTCCACCCCAACATCACCACCACCACCACCATGTCACCAATTCCACATCACCTCATCAACGAGGCAGTGCTGGTTTAAGGGGTCTGGTCCCACTAGACTTGCTCTTCTCCGAGCTCACGGATTGCGTTGAACTTAATCAACGGACTTGTTATACACACCTGTGCCCATTCACATGGCAGACGGAGGAGTGCAAGGCTGCACCAATTTCCACATAGCTGCGCTTACCCTTGAAGATGGTGTGGATGATGTGTAACACAGACGTGATGCCCACGAGGCTTTGAAGCTCGTCCGAATGCACGCACTCCTCCAATTCAGACAGAAATGACCTGAATGTGCACAATTGAAGTCGAAGATGTTTAAGGGCATACAACTGTGACAGTTCAAAGAGGTGAATCTTCAAACTATTCTAAGGGGGCAGATACCAGCGTAAAAGGAGATGAGGGCAGTTTGAGCGTTGGTAAATAAGAATATATGCACTTACAAAAACACACACAGAACTTTTTGCTAATGCATAGTAAGGTCACCATCTACATTGGAATACAAGAATTTTAACGCCATGGAAAATGTGATAAAAAGGGAGAAGTCTGAAAAACACTGGAAAAGTGGTTGGGTAAATTTTAAAATGGAGTGAGGAATTGAGGCTTTGGTATTTACCGACGTCTGTGAAGCCAAATATAGCATCCAATTTATGTTTGCTAGGCTCTTCATACGGGATTTTTTTACGACTGATTAAGCGAGGAATAACGAAGTGGAGTAGAGAGCAAATTCAGTAACAATGTTAGAAGCATTCAGATTGTATGGAATGAAGGAAAAGAGCCCTTAAGGTAGAATAATTTCATGACCTTATGTCATTGCCTGGTTTTGGCCAATGCACAGTATTCTATGCGAGCCTAACATTACAGTTTGAAGAGGGACACTACAATGCATAACAGAAGATGACAGATCTCAAAACTTCTTGAAGCAAAATGAATTTTCTCTTTGGAGAAAAAAAAATGTTGCTGGTAAATATAGAACATGAAATTGGCTTTGCGCTTGTCACTCAACAATCATGCACAATCAAATTGATGTCAGCACATTCAAACATTAAACAGTTCAAACTACATAGCGTTAATGCACATGCAATTTTTTTTATCATTCTATATAATAAAATTATATGAAAACAATGTTTATTTATTCATCCACAAGATACCAAAATATATTTCATGTTCCCACCGTAATTCTATTTTAATTCCTTTTTTCTGCACTGCACTGCACTCAAGGGCACAATTGTAAAAATGTGTTTTTTTTTAATCCAAGTAATATAATGGTAAAATTCATTTTAGAAGATGTACATAAACATAAAGGATCAATGTGGGTTTGACCTTTTCATCCCATCAGTAAACATGGGATGGGATACCATCAATTATGTAGAAATGTTTATTTAAATATTTTGGGCAGTGTAAATTTGTGATTGGGAAATCAACACAGATTATTGCACACATGCACATGCATGCGCACATACATAAATATGAAATAGGTACAAAACATGCATAACAATGAGCAGCACAGAGGAGTGGTGAACCTACGTGCCTTTTCAGTGTTATATACATAATGGTCTGCATGGAAGTTAGTATTAAAATATTAAGACACTATCTACTGAAGATAATTAAAAACATGTTGTGCTCTGTACAAAACAAATGCATTGATGTATTAACCTGAGTGGTATAAAATAGCCAGAGTTGGGAACATATCTAGTGAGAATGTTTTTTAAATAAACACTATGCTTTGTTGTTTTTGTAAGTACAATCATGCAGGTGTTTCTGCTAAAAGTACGAGTCACATACCATGTGTCTGTACTATTGCAGGCATAAATATACTTCAGGAAGAAACCTTACCACGAGTGCCAGTTACACACTTATGTAACAAAAGATTCAGATAGGAAAAAACTCACACTTACCTGCACTGCTTGATTATTAAGTACCATCTTTAAGAATCCAAAGAATAGACTATGTGCTTAAAGTTAATTGCACATTATTACATGTGCAGTGACATCGCGGATGTCACTGTGTAATGCCGGCCCGAGAGAGGCACGGTGTGCGATGTACTCACATCGCGGACACCACGTATATGTGGGTGTAGTACCGGCCCTAGAGGGGCTCGGTGAGCGAGCGCTGAGTCATAGCGCTGAGTCGCACCACGCTCGGCGTGCAGTGCCGACCCCTACAGGATGGGGTGCGAGAGTGTCAGCCATGGAATGGGGTTACTATAGGCCATGGCACTCTGGTTGACCCCGGAGGACACGTGACTGGTAAAGTCTACACAGGGGCCCCAAGTGGGGGATAGGAGTGGTCACGTGTCGGGGCGAGATCTTGCTAGAGGATTCGAGAAGGTGGTCGTGGCCAAGGGCGGAGCCAGCCACGACCAGTGAGGATATAAGCTGGGTCCCCAGAGGGACCAGGGTTCAGCGTTGCCGTTGTCATCTGAAAATCTACGTTCGACGTCCGTGTCGAGTCACCAACACGTGGACCTGGACCCAAGCTGGAGTCCTGTCCGTTGTAGCTACTCCCAGTGTATGTGTAGTTAATTTAACATTCTTTACATAGCCTAAATGTGATCTTAAATTCAAGACTGAAAACTATGAATTATCAAGTGTGGGATATAGGTTAAAGTCAACATCTAAGAGTAATACTCTTAAAAAAAGAATTTAAGCAAAATCAAATGTGTGCAGGCAATCCATCCTCACTGCAATAAGCAGGTCTGCATGTAATGATTTGCCCCCCATCAGTGCAATCAGATTCAGGATGAAAGTATTTTTTATTGCAATTGTGATAAATGTAGTGCCCCTCTTGGCTGCAAGAAGCATGTAAACCAGTTAGACGCAGTAAATAAGAAACTAAATAATTTCACATTTACCTTGAAAATAAAACATAAATAATGAATGGATACGTTGTTATGTGTCTACTAGGCACTGTTAACAGACGGTCTCTTTTTGCGCACCTGGTAATTTTATTGTTACGAAGCACAGTCGCCAGGATGCAGGCAGAAAGGGGGGGGCATGTTGGACATCTTCTCCAGGAGCACGGGGGTGCTCTCCGCCATGTTCTGATGCACAACACACAACGTGAGCTGCTCAACACTATATTCTTAGTTTTTTCGGTAAAGTCACGTTGAAGAGAAACAACAAAATAACAAAATATATATAAAACAATAAAAAATTCTCACGACGTTTTGACCATAACTCAAACGGTCATCATCACTCAAACGGTCATCATCACCTGATGATGACCGTTTGAGTTATGGTCGAAACGTCGTGATGATGACCGTTTGAGTTATGGTCGAAACGTCGTGAGAATTTTTTATTGTTTATATATATTTTGTTATTTTGTTGTTTCTCTTCAACGTGACTTTACCGAAAAAACTAAGAATATGAATTACTGCAGTCACGAAAGCTTTAAATCAAAACTGCTCAACACTGTTTGGGAATCCGTATGTCTGTGAGATTAAGGGCACTTAGAGATCACCAGTCTCACCCTGTGCACATCTGCAGTATGCTCACCTTTCGAACGATCATTTAAAAACCTCATGCCACAGCGAGAAAGAAACAATGTCAAGGCACATAAGCACCTGCATTCGCTCACACTCAAACCGTACATATAGTAAGCAGCATATTGGTGTATCCCCACATGTACACAAAGTCATACAGTGTATGGCTAGAATTACCTGAATTGATTATCTTTAGCTGTTAGCATTAAACACCTCAAGTGATTGTCCATTAAAACTGTACTACCTGGTCTTTAATGTAGCCATCCACTATAATGGACTTTTTTTTTAAATCAAATTCTTCCAAGACATCAACAGTACCAAACTTTCAGCTAATGATCAAATTTGTGAGCATTACCAATCAGCTGTTCTTAACAATAATTTGCAGCGAGCCACAGCACCTGACTAAAGCGGCACTCTGCTTATCGCACCTATTAGGTATACGCACACTCCTATACCTAATAGAAATCAGCGACAAAGTCCATAAACACAATCTCTCAGTCCGCCCACTCTCCCTAAGGAGCAACTCCAGCCTTTCATCCCTCGTACCTTTTGCATTATGTTCTTAGTTTCAGCAACCACAGCCACCATTGTGATTGAGACAATGCCATGGAAGAGGCCCTCTTGGAAGGCTCTCCACTGACATACGGTGCCCAATAATCCTGCTAGTGCAGGACCAAGCTCCAGCAGCACCTGTAACACCAACACATCCCCATGTGGGTAAGGGTGGTAAACTGGACAACCGACTTTAATACCATGCATACCACTAGTTTTTAATTTATTCAGGGAAAGTACTGAGACCCATGTCATGAGGGTACTGCTTAAGCTGCTACACCAATTCTTCATTAAACGACACATTTATATATTTACGCGATCTAACCCAAAAAAAACCTATATTATGGTCTTCGTTGCTAATTTATACATGCTAAAGGAAACCACAGAACTGAAAAACAATCCCACTCAGAGAATAACGATTTTAAAAATCTGGACAAATAGGCCAGCAGCCTACTTGCATTTACTAGCCACCTAGTAGCCTCTCATGCACTCAATGAGTTCTATATGAACCAACTCTTCCCTCCAAAATGCTGAATTACTCTTGGAGGCAAGACATTTATTAATACTAACACACTAACAGAAAGGGGTAACTGCCCCTTCACCAGATAACAACCTATGGTGGTGGTCCACCAGGCTAACTACACTAACTGCACTGGAGTAGCTACGATGAACGGGACCCCAGCTTGGGTCCAGGTCCCGCGTGTTGGTGACTTGTCTTTGGACGTAGGGTAGTAGAACGGAGAGTCTTCAGGATAACAACAGCAGCCGGTCCCACTGGGGGCTCGGCTTATATCCTGTGTGGCGGGGCTCGCTCCGCCTCTAGCCACGACCACCTTCTCGAATCCTCGAGGAGCATCTCCAACTGGACACGTGATCCCCCCAGCCCCTCCGATCACGTGTTCTCCGGGGTCAACCAGAGTGCCATGGCTCCTTTGCAACCCCGTTCCGTGGCCGGCACCCTCACACCCTATCCTCTAGGGGCTGGCACTGCACGCAGCGCGTGGTGCCATCCGTCGCTGTCAATCAGCGCTCACCGAGCAAAACTTAGGGCCAGTACTGCATCAAAAATTCCAGTGGTGTCAGCGATGTCATTACATCGCACGCCGTGCCTCTCACTGCCCGGCTTCACACAGTGACATCCCGCGATGTCACTACACAGATATGAATTGCCTTCCACATCGCTTCATCACTCAAATTAACACTGTACTAACAAGAGTGTCACCTCCTACACAACACTTTCTATTCAATTCCCGTTTTTTCCCCCAATATATACACATATACAAAGACATAGATCCCCTGAATAACTTTAACAGACTGTTAGGGCCAGTGCTGTTAGCGAGCACCACTGAAGGGCGACACGGCACACGAGGTGGGTGGCCAGCACTCGCTAGGCCGCCTGTCTCCCTAGTGGCGATGTTTACACAATGCACTAGGTACCCACTTGGAGGCTGAGTCGACCTAGGGGAGGCCCAAACCGGATAAAAAATTACCACTGGTGTTGGTCTTGGGCAGGAATCGAATTTGGGTCGCCGGGGTCTGTAGCGCAGCACACTAACCGCTAAACTACCACTCCCCACATACACATATACCACACACAGCACATACATCCACAGATAATACGCATCATCAGCAAACAGCCAGAAATGTTAATCGAGAGATTAAAAACTACATTGACCCTGTGGTTAAGGGGGGTACCTGTTGCGCGACATCCACCTGCTTGCGGGTACAGCGGCCCATCATTTGCATGAGCTTTTGGAACACGGTTGGAGCAGCCTGCACGAGTTCTCTGAGCTTCTCCTGCGAGGCGGCGATGGCGATACGTGCGGCAGCATCAACGACAGGTTTTGCCCTGCTCCGGGCACGTGTCACTCTTGCCTCTGCGTTTTTGCCGACGGCGCTCGCTCCGGGCACCTCGGTCGCGTCCTCGTGGTCCTGGCACAGGCAGTGCCTCAGCACGCTCTGCAGAAGTTGCAAGCCCAGCGGCAGGCACTGCACTCCTTTATCTGAGAGCAATCGTGAGAATTAAACAGTTGTGGTCATTATTGTTGTGTTCCAGGTGTACAAGGAACTGTTCGAAAATATCAATTAATGAAAACAGAATAACTTCATGAAAGCACAATCAGAAGCCTGTTCAAGGCTCAGAAGCAAGTTATCAAGTTGCTGCTTCAGTGAACTTTTCTGAAGGCCATTCGGCCAAAACGTCAAGATAATCATTTTCTCATTGATAATATTAAAAAGGGTTCATTTTAATTAATGTGTCACGTTTTGACTTCAGAAGCATTTTTTTTATATCTTAAAGAGCCATTCTCTGATACAGGGTCATCCACCCCATGCTAAATATTAAAAATGAATATGTATGTCTCATTACATGATGCTAATGGCACATAACTATGATGAATGGGTGCCAGAAAATAAGTGCAGATGTATGGTGTTCAGATAATAAAAACTACAAATGAGAAAATAATTAAGGCACTATTTCAATATACTTTTTCGGTGCCTAATGATGTATTATAATTTACGAAAGGAGTGAATTGTGTGCTATGCCATATTATTGAGCTCTCTTGCCTGTTTCCACCACACTGATGGTGAATTCCAGGCAATGTGCAATAAAGTCAGGGTCTGCAAGCCCCACAAGCACTATGTCCTTACAGGCCTTCAGATACACCTGTGAAAGACAACATCAGGATACAGTGGTTAAAGTTTGAAAGAGTAGAGGTTGGAGGTTGGAATGGGCACGGGGCAAATTTCGTATGATGCTGAAATTGTTTTACGGCGATACAGTAGACAGAACACTTAGCATGCAGGACACAGCATTCATGCGGCATGTAATTCTCAGGAAACTTGACTCATTATTGCCAACACACGAGTTGCTTACAGGAACATGCTTTCTTTGATGTCTGGCTCATTAGGCAGACACTGGTGTCAGCAATATATAGTTTATTCATTCAGTATATTTTCCTTTGTTATTCATGTTGAATGCTGTGGCTGTGACGTGTGCTCATGAGTGAAACACTGCCACTTCGCTGCACAAGTCACTTGCCATGGGTGTATATATACATGTGTAGGTATGTACACTTCATATGGGGAGTGCAAGTGCAGTGGTTAGCTCACTGCGCTAAGATCTTTACAATCCAGGTTTGATTTGTGGGTATGCAGAGAAGTGGCAAGGACCAGGCATTGCTTACGTAACACATTTCGGAAATTAGCATCTATGCAATGTTTTGATGTGGTAAGACAAAGGTGATAGGGCATTGGACTGTCTCCACCACTTCCTCATGTTAGGGGCCTAAATTGGTGCTAACTAATAGCATTTATCCAATGCAACCAAGCTAAACAAATATCAAAACCGATGCACTTCTTAGATAGAAAAATTAGTGGAATTCATTACACATTGCGATCTTGTCCACATCCTGCAATTAACGACAATGCATAGCTGCTGCGAGTGCCTGTATATTGTCTGGGTAGCTCACGGATATAGCAGGCATTCATTAAATTAAAAAAAAAACGTACTTCATTGTGTGCACGAGACAACAAATATTTCTTTAATGTTTACACGGTATGTGGATATATATATATATCTTTGGGTTTCAAAAATTGTGCAAAACCTGTGTAAGTGTAACAATGTATATGAATTTAAAGCTTTCGTGACTGCAGGGATTCATATTCTTGGTTCTTAGAAGAAGGGAAACAATAAAATAATAAAAATATAAAACAATAAAATTGATGATTGCTTGTGTTGCAGTCGAAACGTGAGAATTTTATTGTTTTATATTTTTGTTATTTTATTGTTTCCCTTCTACGTGACTTTATCGAAAGAACCAAGAAAATGTATATGAAATTAAGTGTCAAATTCTATACACAAACAGCCATGCAATGTTTACAAAAATAACCCTTCAATCAATGATTGTTTTGTAAAAGCCACTGATGGGCTGCTATGCAACTAGTTACCAAGAAATTGAATCTCCATATGTAATTTTTTTTAAATCCATAACAATCTCACGCAATTGTATGCACTGCTTAAGCAGTTCTTAGAACTTTAATGATGCATCAAAAAGAAGCAGAAATTGAGATATATAATAAATTGGAGCTGAATAGGCCCTGAGAGAGCAATGCCAACACCAAAATAGTTATCAACTGGCAGTGGCTTTAACATGGCTGATGGTGATGAATGTAATTCCGACAGAAGCGACTTCAAAATAAACTGAATGACTTGTAAACAAAAGGAACGATGAAACTACAGATTCTCATTAAGCATTCCTCACTGTTGCAATGTTGAGTGCGAAGCTCGCTTGAGCCTCAGCCTTGTTGCTAGCAGTGTCGTGTGGAGCCTGGAGTACGCACAGCACGTACTGCACCACCCAGCTGCTTGTGCTCTCAAAGGAGGCCTGAATCACACGGCCTTCTCCATTGTGCTGCCATATAGAAACAAACATATGTACACACTATAATAGAGGTTTTTGGGTTACACACTTCTTACACACACACAATACATAAGTACACAGCCATACTAGTTATTGCTCGCAAAATCCCTGTCATCGGACTGGGTGCTGTGTCGCACTGGCCATCACCATCATCATCATTTCATCACTCTAAACAATATGATACCCATTACTTGACAACACCAAAGCAGGACAGGAAAGTACCTGCATTTATCGTGTCCATCATATCATGGGTGGCATTACGAGATACAGTGAGGGAAAAAAAGTATTTGATCCCTGCTGATTTTGTACGTTTGCCCACTGACAAAGAAATGATCAGTCCTATAATTTTAATGGTAGGTTTATTAGAACAGTGAGACAGAATAACAACAACAAAATCCAGAAAAATGCATGTCAAAAACGTTATAAATTGATTTGCATTTTAATGAGGGAAATAAGTATTTGTCCCCCCTACAAACATGGCTTAGTACTTGGTGGCAAAACCCTTGTTGGCAATCACAGAGGTCAGACGTTTCTTGTAGTTGGCCACCAGGTTTGCACACATCTCAGGAGGGATTTTGTCCCACTCCTCTTTAACAGATCTTCTCCAAGTCATTAAGGTTTCGAGGCTGACGTTTGGCAACTCGAACCTTCAGCTCCCTCCACAGAGTTTCTATGGGATTAAGGTCTGGAGACTGGCTAGGTCATTCCAGGACCTTAATGTGCTTCTTCTTGAGCCACTCCTTTGTTGCCTTGGCCGTGTGTTTGGGTCATTGTCATGCTGGAATACCCATCCACAACCCATTTTCAATGCCCTGGCTGAGGGAAGGAGGTTCTCACCCAAGATTTGACGGTACATGACCCCGTCCATCGTCCCTTTGATGCAGTGAAGTTGTCCTGTCCCCTTAGCAGAAAAACACCCCCAAAGCATAAAGTTTCCACCTCCATGTTTGACGGTGGGGGATGGTGTTCTTGGGGTCATAGGCAGCATTCCTCCTCCAAACACGCAAGTTGAGTTGATGCCAAAGAGCTCCATTTTGGTCTCATCTGACCACAACACTTTCACCCAGTTGTCCTCTGAATCATTCAGATGTTAACTGGCAAACTTCAGACGGGCATGTATATGTGCTTTCTTGAGACTGCGGGCCGCTGCAGGATTTCAGTCCTTCACGGCGTAGTGTGTTACCAATTGTTTTCTTGGTGACTATGGTCCCAGCTGCCTTGAGATCATTGACAAGATCTCCCGTGTAGTTCTGGGCTGATTCCTCACCGTTCTCATGATCATTGCCACTCCACGAGGTGAGATCTGCATGGAGCCCCAGGCCGAGGGAGATTGACAGTTCTTTTGTGTTTCTTCCATTTGCGAATAATCGCACCAACTGTTGTCACCTTCTCACCAAACTGCTTGGCAATGGTCTTGTAGCCCATTCCAGCCTTGTGTAGGTCTACAATCTTGTCCCTGACATCCTTGGAGAGCTCTTTGGTCTTGGTCATGGTGGAGAGTTTGGAATCTGATTGATTGATTGCTTCTGTTGACAGGTGTCTTTTATACAGGTAACAAGCTGAGATTCGGAGCACTCCCTTTAAGAGTGTGCTCCTAATCTCAGCTCGTTACCTGTATAAAAGACACCTGGGAGCGAGAAATCTTTTTGATTGAGAGGGGGTCAAATACTTATTTCCCTCATTAAAATGCCAATCAATTTATAACATTTTTGACATGCGTTTTTCTGGATTTTCTTGTTGTTATTCTGTCTCTCACTGATCAAATAAATCTACCATTAAAATTATAGACTGATCATTTCTTTGTAGGTGGGCAAACGTACAAAATCAGCAGGGGATCAAATACTTTTTTCCCTCACTGTAGGTATTACCATTGAGGTACTATCAATGTAATTACTTAAAATTACCTGGTCATTCAGTGAATACAATGCTTTTGAATTGCCTACATTACAATACTGTGGAAGTACTGCTTATACATTGACTTATATTGAAGTTATTGTGCAATATTTTTCTAAGTGTGGCAATATAATTATTACTCCGCTAAAATAGGCCACAGCAATCAGGGCATTTATTTATATAATAATATTCATTTAAATGGTTGATGAATACCATTTTTAAGCGGTATCCCAAATTGACGCTGCTTTGATAAATTAAGACATGCCCCATGGGCCGGAATTGGGATCGCCTGTTTGTTCCACGCTCTTCTCCACAGGGATGCTGACCTTATGGTGAATGAGGATCTGTAGTAGACAGTGCAGCCGGAATGCACGTAAGGCCGTCGCACTCGCAGTGTCCACGCCGATCGTCTTCGGGTTTTTAAGGAAGGCTCGCAGAGTGTCCTGTATAGGAGTGTAGGGAGAGATTATCAGCAAATTGAACCACTTGCTCGCTCTTTGTACTTATAAGCGTCGCAAAGCTTTGCCGTCTCTCTTTGTTGCCTTACAGTGCTTAAATAGAAGTGACATGGCCAAGCAGTAGCGCATTTGCCGCTTTTTGCAGATGTTAGTGATTTGTGACCGCCATGTTCAATACTGCGGGTGTATGCACCGTTTACTCTGCAGTGAATGTTAAAGATCCCATGGCATAATTCAAAATAGCAGCCATATAAGCCTGCATCTTGGTACAAATAAAAAAACTACACTTAAATTACTTGTGGTAAAACACAGCACTATCATTCCCGCCTGGCAAACTATGTCAGTCTGTGAAACAAAGTGCCTTCATGATAGTCTTGCACCATAAGAATGGCACGAGTACCAAATGTTGTAAATTGTTATATAAATCAAAAGCAGACATTCACAGAAATACAACCCCATTCCGTTGTACTACCCCGTTGGTTTGTGCGAATGTTCGAGTCACGTAAGCACCTTTGAGGTGGCCAGTAGCTCAGTGAGAGCATTCAGCTTGTGACCAGAATCCAGCACAGAAGCACAGCACTCAGGTGAGCGGAGCATGTACTCTGTGTACTGCAGTGCCAGGTCGGGCTTTGGCAACATGGGTAAATTTATCCGCACTCGGTTGACTCTTGTCTGATGGGTGACAGTTACAGATAGGAACAGGTCAAGTTTGAACAATGAAACATTTCAGTGCGAGTCTAAATCCCACAAGCAATTTTTACATCTGTGAATTTTGTTAGAAATATTCGTGATTGAAGAAGTAATAGAGTTGAAACATGAGCAGCACTTTTTGCGATGGTCATACTCATAAATAAGAACACCGATGGCAAGAGGTGGTATAACTTTTCATTGAGCAATAATAATATATTTTACACAAGTACTCATGGCTCTGTATGGTTCCTTGGTCTTTGCGTTCTGATTGACTGCCGTCAACTCACTGCTCAGCGTGCCTTTTGATTAGCTAATGGCCACGCTTACCCATCACGTTGCATGAGTGGGGCGGCGTCGAGGGTGGGGGGCATTTGTGCGGAGAAGGAACTAAGTAGGAGGGGGGCTGCGGCTGCGGGGAGGGGGGGTGCTGGGGATTGTCCCACGCAAGGGGGTACACCCAGTGGTGGGAAGGTGGGGGGATATTGGGGGTGGCGGGGACCATCCTTGAAAGATGGGTACATTCACTATTTAGTCAATGAAATAGCATCTGTAAATGCTAATGGTAAAAATATTCAAATAAAGTCGTTGAAAAGAATCATGACAATTATTTATTGTACATACCAAGGTAATTGTACAAGTATGGTTTGCTTATACCCACCAAGACCACAAAATTACTGAAGGTATTGCACTCTGTGCAATTGCCAATGAAAAATATGTATTGTGAAGTAATGTCAATTGAGAGGTTATTCTATCTTTGCTCTGAATACCCCCCTTGTTATCTCTCAGACTAACCTGTGGAGATTTTTGGCCCAGATTGGCAGACAGCCATTCTGTAATGAGCTCCAAAATGTGACCCGCCTGGCCCCAGCAGCACATGCAGTCCAGCAACGGTGTGAAAGCCATGTCATCCACACCCAGTTCAAAGGCACGTAGCCGTGACAACACGCTGCCGCTGCCACCGCCACCAACCACACAGCCAGAAAAACGATAGATCAGCGCTTGATGGAACCGTGAGCATACACAAAGCTTGAAACTGGTGAGGTGTTCTGTGAGAAGTAACTGAACAAAAAGTATTAAAGTATTTCACGAGCTCTCACCTGAAAGTAGGGATGGTGTTGGGAGGCATGTAGGAAGCAAGAATGACCAGTGCCTGGTAACAGCGCTCGTTCTATTTTATGGAAGAGAACAGTGTAGCAGACAAGTTGCTCAAACCACAAGACATGCAAGATTGTTGGCACTGAAGTACTCGGAGAAGGCAGCACACAGTGTAATTCTGATGAAAGGATATGTATATGTACATATGTAAATGAAAAATAACTTATATATGAACTCGGTAAATATAAAAATGTAACCATGTTTTATCCCTTTAAGCCAACTTGACAAAGCAGACATCTGAATGAGGACTGGCATGCTGAATTCTAATTACAATTTGTATTAAAAGATGTCGCCCAGCATAATCACCTTGAACGTTCTGAAGTAACCGGGCACCACGTTGGAAAACTTAATTACGAGCTGCTGATACACGCGCGGGTTTCCCAGTAACACTTTGCGAATGCTGCTCCACAGGATGACCACCACCTCTAGCAAGCTGCCCACTGTCGTCAGGTCCTTGGCCAGAGGTACGTCCTCATCATCTTCTTCCTGCTGGAAGGCACATGCTCGAGGGTTCAGCATGCGACGCCAACGTGCAGACTGCGCTGATGCAGGTGTTGATGCGCGATTCCCACGTTACCTGAACACTTACAGCACTAAAGCCGAATGATTCACATGATAACAGTGTGGTAATATGACAGAACAATTAACAGGTGAACACAATAATTTGGCTTAAAATTACAATTCAAGAAGGACATGTAGGAGTGTAAGGATGAATTCAATGATCAACTAAAAATGATTATTACTCTCTGATATACATGCAATAATTAGTTTGCATGAGAATCAATATGTTTGCATGAAATCGGTTCATGCGACCACTGAAGCTATAAAACGTACTATAATTTACACAATGGGACTATTTTTCCACAATTACCTCGAATTATGACTAATTTAATCGTTATAAGCCTTCCAAGGACATATCAGCACTTATCTTACACTCTCATTTTCTTTCTCATCTCCCTCAGCTTCTTTCTCTTCATTCTGGCCTTTGTGCTTTGGCAGACACGTGTTCAGGCAGTGGTACAGTTGCAAAATCAGTTTGGCTGCAGGAGGATGCACACACACGCAAATCATGAACTGCACTGCCACTGCAGATAATTACATTAAAAAACCCTACTTAAATTTCAACTCACTTTAGGACCACATCAAATATACAGAACTTCACTTCACCATTAGTTTACTCAAAAGACCGTCAACATCAATCATCACATTTCCATTACAGCTCTCATACTTAACATGCCTTAAGGAGCACACACTGCAGCCAACTGAGATGACAGGGTCAGGGAAGCCAACAGCCAGCAGCATCAATGAGCAAAAACACTATGCTCTATGGGTAATAATTTTGTTACAAATCATATAGCGATTGAATGCCCATAAGTACTGAGAGAAACACATTTGGCTAACCTGGAACTAAGTGAAGTGAGGAACATATTGAGAACTCAGTAGATTAAACCAGTAGCAACTGCTTAAAATAATATTACAGTATTTTACTTTACAATCGAGTAATTGCAAATTATTGGTATATTATTTTTATATTTTACCAACTCATGTACAGTGGACGATAGTGCAAATACATCAAACCTTACCGATATTCGTCGGCGACACGAACTTGTGTAAGTGTTGATAGAAACAGCGGGTGGCAGTGGGGTTCATCTGCACAAGGGTGATGCAGCGCTCACTCCACGTCTCCTCGGGCTGCTCCACCGGCAGGAAGGAGCTGGCCAGAAGCTGCACCAGCCGGCGCGTCACTACGGGGCTGTCCATCGCCAGACGCGCCAACAGGTGCTCCATCGGACAGATCTTCCAGTACTGTGGGGTCACAGAAAGGTTAATGGTGCAAACGGGATGGAAATTTAACAAGAAGAAAATGAGGTAAAGCGAATCCTGCTACCCCCCCCCCCCCCCCCCGTTGAATTACATAACTCGTCTCCCAGAATAATTTACACTAACATTTCAGCATACTTATTATTTAAGTAAACTCATTATTCTGTTCTTATTTTTTTTATCATGACTTGTATTCCTACTTAAAATTCATGCTGCTAGACAATTTGATCCAAAAGGCCTATGGGTTAATGGAACAAAAATGTTACGTAGATAGACAGACTGTTGTCTATTTATTAGCTATAATCCTTCTAGAGGTGGAGCCATGGCGCTATAGCGCACTGCGCTATGACCCCAATGGACTGATTTAGATTTTTGACAATGGCTAACACCCATCGTGAGTGATATCTGAATTGGTGCTGGCCACTCACAAGTGTGGTCAAAACCATAACAAGTAATATTTCTACTATGATTATAATTCTTCAAACTGCAAATAATAATTATATTGTTGTCACTATGGTTTGATGTATTGTTGCGTGAATGTTTTTGTGGATGAAACAAGTTATGATAATCGTAATGTCCCTAATACATGCTAAAAGCTAGATATGACAATCATGTCTGCATTGAAAGTTGAATGTACTTTTCAAAGTTTAGTCACTTTAATTACCACTTGAAAAAACCTTTTCCTCTCATTTCACAATGGACCCAGGACACATTAAAATTACAAATGTGAAATGGATAAATTTGTGAACAATTTAATTACTTTTACCATGATTTCATCAAGTTTCTCTTCATCACAGTAACTTGGAAGAAATTTGCATCATATTGAACAAAATGGGTGTAATATTTAAGTGAAAGAGAGCTACAGTAAAACCTTGGATTGCGAGTAACTTGGTCTGCGAGTGTTTTGCAAGACGAGCACAAATTTTAAATAAATATTAATTTGATAAACGAGCGAGGGTCTTGCAATACGAGTGGTACGTATACGCTTTGTCTGCCGAGCGTCACGAGATCACAACTGATATACGAGTCTTTTGATATACAGTGCTTTGGATTACAAAGACGTTTCCGGAACGAATTATGCTCGCAATCCAAGGTTTTACTGTATTTGTTCTTAGCAACCAGTCTGCTTGCCAGTGTGGATGGAACATTTATTCAAGAAAAATAACAAGCAACAAGGTTTTCGTCGGTATACTTGCAAAGGCAGCTAATGGATACGAGTTGCAGCACTACAGAGGTTGATAGAAGCGAAAATGCATGAGGAAATTGCATTATACCTTAGCCGCTCGCACTGCCTTGACCTTAAGCAGCATGTCGACAAAAGCCACACGCACCCTCTCAGCTACATCGTGTAGCCCATTCCTGGCTTCTGGAAGGAGCTTCTCCATTAACGGGTGACTCAATTTGTTGTCGAGAACAATTGGCAGGGACTGTGAAAGAGAACACCATGCACCCACAAACATAAAATAATGACTGACGAAACAATTGCTATTTGCAGACATAAAAACATGAATCAGTGAAGAGGTAAGCACTACATTTGGCTGACTGTCTCCCGGCTGTAACTATTATGAGTAATTCTTGACACAGACCACGTAACATTCCAACTGCTATTCATATACACGTATAGGTATCACACCGTGTTTACTAGCATAGCGTGATGAACACGACTCATCCCCAAATACATGTGCATACACCCATAGAGGCAATCTCACACACACAAGCACAAATGAAGCCATAAAAACACAAGAAATGTGAATTTATGGATCTATCCTGCTTTGTGTGGTGACACAAACAAGGCCTTTATGGCCTCAAATGTCTGAAATAATGCTGGTAAATCTTGAGGTATGTGTAGATAGAGGCTGGTGATATTTGGATTACCTGTACCTCTGACTCATTCGTGGCACCTATCACATGCACATTATTTACTTGGCCAGTATGCTTAAGACCAAGTGGCCGAGGAAGATGTAATGAGCTTTCTGTCAAAGGCAGTTCTTTAACATTAAACACATAACACTTACACAACAAAATCTGAATTCAATTTCTTAGTTTTGTCACCCTAAGCTTGTTACATGTTTACAAGGTAGTAAATAGGATATGTTGCCTTTGTGTACACATTACAAAAACAAATATTTGTTTAAATGTGGTTACCATCATCAGAAAATAACTAAACACTCTTGCTAAGGAGTTCCTGGGTTATTTAAGCATGGACACTTGACAGGCATGGTTAGTGTTCCCTGCAGACCACTGGAAAGAAATGTTACTGTGACAGAACTGCAGCTGTTGTGGTTACATAATAGACAGTGTTTGTCTAATTAACAATTATAAAACAACACAACTGAACGATTTTATTTTTGAATGGAATATGCTACAGCGAAGACCATTACCTGCCACAACCCTCAAAAATCAAGGTGACGATATTCCTTTCAGTCACACAAGTAACAATCACCCGCACCATGCAAATATAATGCCAGTGTGTAAGGACATTTATATACATTATGTAAAAAAGACATTGCAAAATTGGTTCAACATTGGAACCTCACTGAAAACATATTTTGCAAGGGAGATTTGAGGAAATATAAATGTATTATTTATTCATATTAAATTTTGAGTAGGATTCACAATTGGGGATATGGGCAAAGACAGGGTCCCACAATGATCTTATTGCAAATGAGGTTGTAAAATATTTAGGGTGCACTTTTTATCAGATGGCATTGTTTTTCTAATCCCATGCAGAAATTCCTGGGCTAAAATAGGAATGAAACTTTCAACTGCTTGTAGAGAGGGTCCAATGGACGAGCACAGTGTTTTTATGCTGTCCCTGTTACCATAGTAAAATTAATGTCCACACTTACGGCACAAGTACACAGAGATTTGTGGGACTCCAAAACCTGCTGGGTTGTGAGATATCCAGGAAAGCAGAACAAAATAAATTATTAACCATCTGTGTGGAGCTTTAAGTGTTATCCCCTCATACATGTAAAATTTTCCTCGGGTACGCCCGGTGAAAAACACTCATTAATGGAATTAATCCTGAGATTCAGTGAGGCTTTACTAGACAAATACATAACATTCTTTCCTGGATAAAAAAAAATGATTAACCAGAGTCAGATCATCACCTTCCTTAAACAATGTATATGGTGGTGGTAGTGGTAGTGATGATGACAATCATGATGGAGATGGGGACCTTGTAGACGGCACAGCGCACATCAGCCGAGGAGGCATCGAATGCGAGGCTGGAGACAAGCTTTGTGAGCAGCTCGGAGAGCGGGCGTCCGGGGATCATCTCCCAGTAGCGCGAGGTTAGGCGGCACACTCCTAGCACCGCGCTTGAGCGCACTCGAGGGCACGGGTCATCCAACACACGCTGCGCGTGTACGCACGCACAAGCAAACACAAGGGGTTTGGTGAGAGAAAAATATACAGTACGTACAATCACACTGCATAACCTATAGTTCAGTCTGTTCAATAGAGTTGCAATTTATATGGTACAAGATCATGGTCAGACATTCGCTGCTACTTTACAGTCATCAAACATCGCTGTCGTCTCTGCAATACAGCATTAACATACTGAATTCGACATTTTTTTTCATTCCAACACAATATCAGGAAGGCAAGCGAGGAATCTGTGCTTCATATTAAAGGTTTGCATGTTCAAGGGCCTATTTATATCAATTTAGTGTTGTACTATAGCATATTGTGAGCAAATACAAGTACCAATCAAACAGCTTGCTCTTGGAGAAGACATTAACTCTACTGACCAGATGATCTGTATGCAGGAATTAATATTACCTAAATATTGCTGGTAAAAGCAGCTCAGTGTGCCAGGTTTCTAGTCAGATAAATCACCTGTAATCAATATCAATGCAATGAAAATGGCAACTGCTTGCCAACAAGCGTATTCAGCTTGATTAAACTACCGTGTGTTTATTAGTGGGTATGTATTTATGTGACCATACTCAAAAGTGTTGCATTGCAGTAAAGAGTACAGTCCATTTCAAGACTGCTTTAATATACAGTACTATTTAATAACATGTCCAGACAGTACATACATACATTCCCATACATGAAAGTTATTAAGTTCAAATTGTACCGTCATGCAATGCGCATACAATATTTATGAAAAAACATGCTTTACTTTTATATTAAATAGGCTTTAATTTAGTGTAAAATCAGATTCTTCCAGTCTAAATAAAGATTCTGAAAATATAAATAATATAATAACGCTAAATATTTTTTTTTTTTACTTATTCTTCACCTAAAACATTTCACACAGCAAAAATCTGTAGTTTGCTCATTATCTGTCACTGTCGGCAATGATGAATGTGTATTGCAAACGAATGGCTTAGAAATCCGATTGCCAACGTTGAGACACTCGGCCATCTCCTCTGAGATTCTGAGTTCAAGGCCCAGGTCACCGCTCGTGGTTAACTGGCTCACATGTACGGCGAATCTAACAGTGTCAGTCAAAAGTTCCTTTCGTAGAAGAAAAAAATCACCCAACGGGTGAGAGCCCACATATTCATCTGCCCGGCTCAACTACTCCATCAATGGTAAGAGACATGTAAAAGTGTCCAAGAGCTAACCAATGCCTTCATGAGGCTGTTCCTTGTTGAGACTATCATCCCAGTGTGTGAAAAGGCTAATGAATGGAGCAGCTCTCACTATCTACATGGCACTGCAAGCACAATCGGTATATAGTGGTAAATATCCCCAACTCTACCAACAAAAAAAGCATTGATCGATGTACATGACACTCACAAAGAGCTCCTCAAACTGCCTCTGCAGATTCGCATCTGCCTCCTCCCTCCCAAATGCAGGGTCCTGCAGTGGGAAAGCGTCCGTGAACAGCAGGGTGGCGTTGGCCCGTACCTCGCTATTGCTGGCCTGAAACAAAGGTAAACACCCTCAGCATGAGCACTACATGGGGAGAATATCTTCTGGAACCAGTTTCTTTTGTAAAATAGGACAAAATTTCATGATGTAATAGTACAGTTCCAATTCAGTTAAACCTGTTTGAAGAGTAATTGCTTGTATGAGAAAAGAGGGGAAATTCACATTGTTGAAGCAACTTTTCGGTGCGATTGTTAAATGTGCATAAACACTTGTGAAGCAATCATAATGTATTTTTAAAGAATTAACACTTTTGGATTAAATGTGTTACAAAATGTGGAATGAACTGTTTCCTATGACAGGCTCAACGCACTCAGATAATCACACTACTGACTAAACATTTAAATATTTGAACAAGAGGAATGACATTTATAACCCATATTTGAAACTGGCCTGCTTAAGATGCAAGCGCAACAATTAGCAAATAATGCACAGATTTATTTACTTCCAGTTCACCAGTCTGATATTTACCGATTTACAATAATACGTCAAATATGATGTACATAGGAGTGAGCATTAGGCCTCGGCAAGGTAAGGTAATTTACCCTTTTTACCGGGTAAAAGGGTAAAGGTGTCGACCATGCCAAGGGGTAAGGTAAAGGGTAGGGTAAAGGTAGCACGAAAGAATTACCTGGTAGGGTAAAGGTAGCACAAAATATTACCCAGTAAATATACCCTGTTTACCGCTCGCTAATAGCTCCGTGGCGAAGTCTGTGGCCTCCATTTGAAATTGTAATCATCGATGTGGGACCAGATGGAGACGGACCACGTTCTTGAGGTAGAGGATGAGGTCGAGGATGCCAGCAACGGCATTTCCGGGGTCCGTTGCGAACAGTAATCGAAATAGGCAGTGGCATGCGTTCCCGTGGGAGCACACGGACGATTGTATGGAGGGTGATCCCCGTGTGCAGCAAGGGAAAGCGGCAGTGCGTGCACTGCTGCAAGTGGTTTACCTCCCAAACGAACGCGTCGGGGTGGAAAAGCCCACCTCAAGAAGCACAACGTGCTCGCCCCAGGCAGCGGGGTCAGGGCGTCGGCGAGTCGCCTAATGCAGCAAACGCTGAGTCGGCCAGCAATCCCGGATCGCCTCCTGGTAAAGTTTGAGAACGCAGTGGCTTTATTTTTGTTATCCAAGGTGCAATCTCTTTGCGAGCCGCCGGAAGCAACAAGTTCAAGACCTTGGTCCACACATTGATGCAGGGATACGAGGGCCCGTCGACCAGCACCATCATTCGCAGGATTGTCGAGCTTCACGCCACCATGCTGTCCATCGTCGGGACATTCTTCTCCAACCTCGATGTCGCCATCTCGCTCACCATCGACGGGTGGTCGAACCTTAACCTGAAGGGATTTTCGATGGTCACGGTGCACTGGATCGACACTAAACCTGGTGCGTCGAAATCCATGCTGCTGACGATCCTCGATGTGCAGACTGGAAGGGGTGTCGGCAAGCACATTGGCACCACTCTGTTTGAGCACCTCCAAAGCCTCGGGCACAATGTCTCGACCAAGCTGCTCGCTGTCACCAGCGACAATGGCTCCGATGCGATCAGTGCTGTCAAGACGTTGTTCGCCATGATCAGCGCGGACGCCAGATATGAGCAGTTGCGGGCTTGCCACCATATTCGCTGCGCAGATCATTCGGTCCAGGTCGGCGTCGTCCAAGTTCTCAAACTGATGAAGTCCACGAGGCGCTCGTCAATATCAGGCGCAGCAAGGTCGTCCGGCATTCGTACCGCCGCGAGGCCAGGATCGCCAAGCTCACCACGCAAGGAGCCGACGTACCAGGACTCGCCGACCAGGTGTAATTCGATGTTTGACAAAGGCGATGACGCTATCAAGAAGCGTGTCCCATTGGACATTATCATGGCGCGCTTCCAGGATGTGATCGGCGTCGGTGCTTTCCCTGAACTGCAGTGGCCAGACATCGAGGGCGTGACAGCATTCCTGCGATTGCTGTGCCAGGTCATGACCTCGTTGTCGGCGGACCGCAAGAAGACATTGGATCTCGTGCCGGTGACGATAGAGCACCTGATCCGTCATTGTGATCGAAGCCGCTCTTAGAGCGATCGATGAGTCCTTGACCGCGACGGGGATGAAGGCCGAGCCGGTGTGGTACCGTGACTTTCTGGTTCAGAAACCCGCCATTGTGGCATCCTACTTGAATCTACAGCTGCCGAAAACGACAGACCAAGACGAGCTGGCTACACTAAAGGCCACGATCCGCTCTGTCCTGCAGCATCGCTACTCAGACATGGTCCCGATCCCGCCGACGGCAGTCGCTGCCCATATGGAGGAGGGGTCGCTGTTCAGCACCCTATTCAGCAATGTCGGCAGCTCCATCGACGATGGCGATGAAGTCGATAGTTTTCTGAGCATGGGCGTCACGACTGCCAGCGCCTTTCATTAACATAATGCAGTGGTGGTCTCCCCGCAAAGAGCTGCTCCCGCCCACTACAAGATGGCCTGCGGCTACTTGGGAGCGCCGGCGACGTAAACTCCCTGCGAACGCGCGGATAGTGGAGCAGGGCGGGAGCTCGCAGCATTCGCCAGTCGCTTGTCGTCGACGCTCTTCATCCAGTCCATGTGCTTGGGCTCTTGGATCGCAGCCGGCTGCCTGAAGGTCCCGTCTAACCGGGCCGGAGGAGCGCAGGATCGTCGTTCGTCCGAGGACGATGGCAATGACGAACTTGATCAGGTTGTTGATGAGATTGTCATTGACCAAGACAAATAGGACGAGGAGGTTATGGAGGACGGTGTCGTCGACAGCCTCAACACCCAATTTGAAGAGTATTTCTATACGAATAAAGCGCTCTACCTCGCATTTACCTGTTATAAACCTTTTTCATATGTAGTACCCCGGTAATTACCCTGTAATCAGGTAATTTGTATGGATTAAGGGTAAAAGGTAGGGTAAAGGTAGGCTCGTTGCTTTTAAACTTTTACCTTACCTTGCTAAATGGTAAAAGGTAAGGGTAGAGTGATTGTAGTGGTAAGGTAAAAGGTCGGGTAAAGGTAGGCTCGTTGTTTTTACCTTACCTTGCCATGGACTAGTGACCATGTGTCCGAGTAACATGCTCCAAAAAACCTTTCTTTAGTACTTTACCGGGCCGCCTTACGCCTCGCTCCACTAAAACGCTGACTTCACCGAGCCCAAGCTTTTTATTTTCGTAGTATCACGTAATTGTTGTTTTCTATGCTTAAAACTCTTCTTTTTCCATGTTTCTATTGCTACATTTCTTTATTTTAAGTTTATTCCATGAGTTATTTACTGCATGTACTTTATTTAACACAATTACACTTCGATTGCTTATGGTCTCAGCCAACAGCGATCGGGGAAGTCTAGGCCTGCCTAATGCATGGTAAACGAACATTCGGAAGTGACTGCTTTCTGTTAACAATTAATATTAAAATGTTTGTGGCATTCATAAACAATTGTCCCATTAGTTAGAGTAGATATTCGATTAAATGAAACAATCATAGGAAGTATACTCTTTGGTTCTATTCGGTAAAGTCACGTAGGTAAAAAAATAAAACAAAAAAACCTAAGTGACTTTACCCAATAGAACCAAAGAGTATGGATCCTTGCAGTCACGAAAGCTTAAAATCTAGAATCATAGGAAGTGCAGAGCGTATGTACAGCGATATACGATACAGGTAGCGATAGAAAAACGGACGACAGCGCGAAACAGTAATGAGAGAAATTGAACTAGTAATTGGGTAGGGGAGGCACAACTATTTCCGGCTATGGAATTTTATCTTGTTTTTCAGGGAAAATTGTTGTTTCCGACATACGGAAAATTCGGGTTACGGATAGTTTTTGGGACCCTAACCCTTTCGTGACCCGAGGATGCCTGTACTGCTGGCAAAAGGAGTAAGGGCCAATACTTGCCTTTAGCGCCCTCCACAGGATTGGCTCGTACAGTCGGTGCAGCATCTCGTCAACGCCCTGGCGGACCTTCTGAGCGTGGAAGTAACTCAACATCTGAGATATAATGAGGCAATCATGAGTCGAGCACAGCACTGTGTTATCGCCTGCAAAGCATTTCCACCTGTATGTGACTCATTGTAATTTATATCAGTTCAAATATTATTAAAGTCAACAGCGCCCACCAATCTAACCGTCTACTCAGACAATCACAGCTTATCAGCCTTATCCTAATAAAATGATATATATTCAGTTCAGTGATAATACTGCCACTTGCTGGACTAAGCTGGTAAGTGCTATAAAGTCAATACCTTTTAAATAACTTGTAAAACTGTAACTGGTATTCACACAACCACTCATAGTTATGTATCTGAAATGTCAAATATAAGTATGAATCATTTTTCAAACATGTGTACATATTTAATATACAAATATTCAAACGCAAATATATATATATCAATACACCAGCTAGAACTTATTGACTGCAGTGATTGAATACGCATGTTCATATGTATATATTTTTTTACATTCCACCATGCTGTGGATTTTAAACCTGCCCATAAAACATCCATTTGGAATAGGGATAACTCATTATTAACAAATTACATTATTCATTCCATACAGAAGCTAGGCAGTCATGTATCAGTACACCGGACAATGTGCTAGGGTTTAAATCGTCAATAGTTATATTCCATTCATTCAGCAGAAAGGCATATATTACAAAGGCAGAATATAGCACGTCAGCGAGGTCCATTTAAAATCCTGCAACGAGGGTGGGCTGTAGTGTATTGGTGTTATAGCCCAACATGACACATCTAAAATTACCTCCGAATAAAATTATTCAATACTAGCTTTACTACCCGGCTTCGTCCGGGACTTGGATTCACCACGCCCGGCCGCCTTTGTCCCCCCAGGTGGTGATGTTCACACACCACACGAGTTACTCGTTTGAGACTGAGTCGACCTAGGGGAGGCCCAGGACCGGTTCAAATAATCGTCACCGGTGGTGGCCATGAGCGGGAATCGAACTCGGGTCGCCGGGTTCGTAGCGCGGCACGCTAACCGCTACACTACAATGCGTTCCGCTTCCACATGTGAGGGTCACGTGACAGATTTGACGTCACAGCTCACTTGCCGTGCAAAAAAATACGCATTATTGAGCTCCCCCCCCTAAAAAAGAACAAAAGTGTATTTTTATAATTTTTGCATGGTGTACAGTCTGGAAAGTACCCACATGGCAAATTTCCAGTTTGTTGCATGTCGGGCAGTACGCTAAACATTTTGAGCAGACACACATTCACAACTTTGCCTTATATATATGGAGATAACAATGGTTATTTTCTTGTATACACTTACCTCTTCATTCAAAGAAACAATGTCTCAGTGGGCTCTCCCAAGGTTTAGAAGGTCATTTAGTTCAATTTCTGTTAATATAAACTGTGTGATTTAAAGCTTCCGTGACTGCAGGAATTCATTGGTTAAGCAGTGGTGAGACACTGCTTAACCAATACATACTTCACTTGGAATGGAACTTTCTACAAACAAACTGAGAGCACCCCAATGGGCTCCCCCCTATCTCCAGTTGTAGCCAACATTTTCATGGAGAAATTTGAGACTGACGCCATCCAGACTGCCACTCTACGCCCAACCTTATGGAAGAGGTACGTGGATGACACTTTTGTCATCTGGCCACATGGCCGGCCTGCTCTAGACCAATTCTTCGACCACATCAATGACATACAGCCAGCCATCAGATTTACCATGGAAGTCGAAAAAGACAGCAAGCTACCTTTTTTGGATGTCCAAATAAAAAAGAGACCTGATGGTTCAATGAGCCACTCTGTCTACAGGAAAGCTACCAATACGGATGCTTACCTGAAACCGGATTCCCACCACCATCCATCCCAGAAGAATTCCCTCATCAAGACTCTGCACCATAGAGCCCAATGCATATCCGACCAGGAACACATAGCCAGTGAACTCAAGCACGTACACCAAGCTCTTAAGGCTAATGGTTGCTCCGACTACACAATCCGCAAAGCTATCACTCCAACCATGAAGAAGGATCCTCTTGAGGAGCCTTTCAAAACCATCACTTTACCCTACATTGCGGGGATCACAAAAAAGATCTCCAAAATCTTGAATAAACACAAGATCCAGGTCCGATTCAACACATTACATAAAATCCGTGATCTGGTTCCGTCTGTAAAAGATGTGATTCCAGACATACAGTACCCTGGCGTCTACAAACTAAATTGCCTCTGTGGTAGTAGTTACATTGGAAAAACCAAACGACTTGTCTCGGACCGCATTCGTGAACACAAAGCAGACCTAAAACACGGTAGGACCAACACCTCAGCCTTGGCAGATCACTATTATAATTCAGTAGGCTCACATGACATTGACTTCTCCAAGACAGAGGTTCTTTGCAAGCCATCTGGCTACCACGAGAGATTCGTTCATGAGGCTATCCACATATACAAACACAGAGACAATTTCAACCGAGAAGATGGATTCTTGCTTAGCAATGATTGGAAGGATTTGATAAACCATTTCAGGTCTTAATTGATTGTTCACGCTTACAGTGGCTTTCAGACCACATCCATTATTTTCGTCTCCCCCCTCCTCTTTTCCGAACATAGATGGACTCTTCCATCTGAACAAGCTGTCAAATCGCTCTCCGTGGTGCTAACGTTAAAAATAACCGCCACTTTTTTCAAATTTTCTTGTTGTGGTTTTCACACCTGATGATGATTGCTTGTGTTGCAGTCGAAACGTCGTGATAATTTTATTGTTTCATATGTTTATTATTTTATTGTTTCCCTTCTACGTGACTTTACTGAAATAACCAAGAAAATAAAATAACCACACAGGAACTTGGAATATGTAGGCACTTCACTTAAAAAGGCTCATGTGTTGCAGTTGGAGATATGGAGAGTTTTCTTACCTGCCGCACTTTGGAGTTCATTGGAGAGCTGTAAGGCAGGTACACGCCATGCTCCATCAGGTTCTGGATGCAGTGTTCCTCCATCATCTGCAATGATAAAATGGCACTTATAAAGACCTTAAAGTTGAAATAGGCCATTTGTCATTGCAAAATGTGGTGACAGACATGTGTTTTTCTCCACGTAATAAACATTTGTATAACCTAAAACTTTCGTGACTGCAGGAATTCATATTCTATGGTTCTTTCGGTAAAGTCACGTAGACAGACGATTGCTTGTGTAGCAATCGAAACGTCATATTTTTATTATTTTTTATTCACTTTATTTTAATTTTTATTATTTTGTTATTATTTTTTCTATCTACATGACTTTACCGAAAGAACCATAGAATATTTGCATAACCTTTATTCAAGACAGACGTAGATAAAGATTGCTTGTGTTGCAATTGAAAAGTCGTGATATTTTTAGTATTTTTTATTCAGTTTATTTTCATTTTTATTATGTTATTATATTTTCTATCTACGTGACTTTACCGAAAGAACCATAGAATATTTGTAAAACTTTTGTTCAAGACAGACTTTTGAGGTGTGGCAGGTGCTTTAAAATGAATTCCTCTTTACAATTAATTGTAAGTTGAATTATACAGTATATTACAAGCCAGGAATTCAAGCAATGGCCTTCTGCTCAAAATATTTTGGGCTTTTATATTTATTTGGCAGTTTGGAAACAATGACCACAAATAATGTAAACGTTGGCTTTTGCACCAATTATTAGGCAGCCATTGGGAATTTACACCTATGAAATTATTCTTGCAAACTAGTATTCTAATTCTCTATATGAAAATAAGTCTCAGAATATTCTCACGCAATCATGCTTTCTTTGACAAGTGTTCTGATTAATTGAGCACTGACCTTCAGGTAAGGGCCTGTGGCCTTTTTCCAGGCTTGAAAATAAATGTCAGCATAGTAGCCCACTTGCACCCTGTGGGAGACATCACATAACCAGCCAAATATATGTAAACATTATATTTAAAAAATAGTTCTGACTGGGTATTCAATACATTTACTTTAGAGGGTGATGAGGCTGTGTCAATGTGAAAGTGATGAAAAAAGGACTATTCATGCTTGCCAGCGTGCCTGAGTTTAAATTTTGAACTATCAACGATAAAACCAAGTTTTCTGTAAGTTTCATTATACAAACATGTTCACCAGATACACTATATATAAAAAACCTTCATATTAGTTTTACACTTAATTTTATGAAGTTCAACTTTGAGGACTAATCTGGCAGACAAGCAGAGGAAAGCATGTCATTTCTGCAGCAAATAAGTAAATCCACCAGTAATGTTTAAGAAATAGTATTGGAAATTTTTTAAATGTGCGGGTATATTTACCAAATGTCAAAACGACCAGGACATTATTAATTGTAAAAACGTAAACAATTGTAGCATATTAGGATTTGCCATGTAATCAATAACCAAAAGATATGCTTATTGGAAATAAAAATATAAGTTAGCATCGAAGCAAACATCTGCAAGTATACAGAAATGCACAAAGACAAATGGCCTCACTTAGTCAAAGAAAGAAGATGCTTCTTAAGAACGGCATGAATAGTCTTGATAAAATCCACATTTAAACTGAAAAGGAAGGACAAGAATCGCCGACTCTGAAAAACGTAAATACACGCAATCAGACAATTATTCAAATCACAGCAAGATTCATCCAAGACATTTATAAAATTCTCACGAAACGTCGTGAGAATTTTATTGTTTTATTTTATTATTTTATTCTCATTCTACGTGACTTTACCGAAAGAACCAAAGAAGACATTTATTTCAATAGATATTGCTGAACAGCATACACAAAGATTCTGTAAATGACCAATATAAATATCCAGTAAAAGTAACAACACATTGCTTTAATGCTCGCTTGTTTTACATTTAGTCCTTAAACTGTCTCCGCTTAGGTTTTTCAAAGAACGGTACGAGAACACCACTTTGATGCTGCTGCCTTTGAGTCAGCTGCTGTCACCTCCTCGGTTTTCAGGTAGATATTTGTCACTATGCATCCCTGCAGCAGCAGCTCCTTCAACTCCTCAGTCTCGGGTGGGTTGCCCAGGAAGTCAAACAGCCGGAAGCTCTCACGCAGGCTCCACAACCGCTTCATCCCTGCACCCTGCATTAGAACAGTTTCAGCGTGGGCACATTTTATCTGGCTTGCAAGCACCACGTCCCACTTCACAATTTATAATACAATGGCTGTGTAGCTACATCAACATAAGCAACCATGTGTTAAAGGTACACACAAATACTTCATATTATCGTGACAAAAACTAAATGTAGATGTGCAACAATGTACCCCCACAGAAACTGTTTCTATAATGACTTAAGTGTTTTTTTTATTCAACTATTTGAGTTTCATAATCTCATTTGCATTATTTCTTGTTTGTACTGTTTTGTTCGCTCCATTAGCTTCAATGTAACATTACCACATAGTTTGCATACGATTCACATACATTGTTGATTGCAATATGGACAATTTTATGCATACTGTGAGTTTAATAATCGATTTTAAGCGATGTATCATTACATTCACAGCTAAATAATAGTCCTTAGAAATGCACTGATTTCAGTAAAAAAATCACAAGAATGAAAGTCACTGTCATGAAAAACAACAAATTATAAATTTCAATATAAGGCATTGCTACATACCAAGGCTTTGCTCTGCTGTATTAAATTGTACCGCAGAATTGTGAGGATCATATTCTTTCCAAGCTCCTCTTTCCCACGTAGGTCTCTCTCCCACCAAGACTCGCACATGTGTATGACTGTGTCTCTTAGGTTAGGGTGAGACTCGGTGAAAAGTGGCAACAGGGCTGTCAACAGGGTGAGAAAAACGGTAGAGTAGATTGGAACTAATTATCACCACAGGAACATACATATCTTGTATTGTTGACTGCTGTAACCACCTGGAATGCATTTTTTATACAGGGTGACATAAAAGTCTGGACAAAGTGTTATTTCATTTATTTTAGCACTGGCATTAAAATATATAAATAGTTTATTCTTTAAGTTAATATTTATCTATTATCATTATTAATACAGTGAGGGAAAAAATAATTTGATCCCCTGCTGATTTTGTATGTTTGCCCACTGACAAAGAAATTATGAGTCTATAATTTTAATGGTAGGTGTATTTGAACAGTGAGAGATAGAATAACAACAACAAAATCCAGAAAAACGCATGTCAAAAATGTTATAAATTGATTTGCATTTTAATGAGGGAAATAAGTATTTGACCCCCTTTCAATCAGAAAGATTTCTGGCTCCCAGGTGTCTTTTATACAGGTAACGAGCTGAGATTAGGAGCACACTCTTAAAGGGAGTGCTCCTAATCTCAGCTTGTTACCTGTATAAAAGACACCTGTCCACAGAAACAATCAATCAATCAGATTCCAAACTCTCCACCATGGCCAAGACCAAAGAGATCTCCAAGGATGTCAAAAACAAGATTGTAGACCTACACAAGGCTGGAATGGGCTACAAGACCATTGCCAAGCAGCTTGGTGAGAAGGTGACAACAGTTGGTGCGATTATTCGCAAATGGAAGAAACACAAAAGAACTGTCAATCTCCCTCGGCCTGGGGCTCCATGCAAGATCTCACCTCGTGGAGTTGCAATGATCATGAGAACGGTGAGGAATCAGCCCAGAACTACACGGGAGGATCTTGTCAATGATCTCAAGGCAGCTGGGACCATAGTCACCAAGAAAACAATTGGTAACACACTACGCCGTGAAGGACTGAAATCCTGCAGCGCCCGCAAGGTCCCCCTGCTCAAGAAAGCACATATACATGCCCGTCTGAAGTTTGCCAATGAACATCTGAATGATTCAGAGGACAACTTGGTGAAATTGTTGTGGTCAGATGAGACCAAAATGGAGCTCTTTGGCATCAACTTAACTCGCCGTGTTTGGAGGAGGAGGAATGCTGCCTATGATTCCAAGAACACCATCCCCACCGTCAAACATGGAGGGGGAAACATTATGCGACGGGAGTGTTTTTCTAAGGGGACAGGACAACTTCACCGCATCAAAGGGACGATGGACGGGGCCATATACCGTCAAATCTTGGGTGAGAACCTCCTTCCCTCAGCTAGGGCATTGAAAATGGGTCGTGGTTGGGTATTCCAGCATGAAAATGACACAAAACACACGGCCAAGGCAACAAGGGAGTGGCTAAAGAAGAAGCACATTAAGGTCCTGGAGTGGCCTAGCCAGTCTCCAGACCTTAATCCCATAGAAAATCTGTGGAGCTGAAGGTTCGAGTTGCCAAACGTCAGCTTCAAAACCTTAATGACTTGGAGAAGATCTGTAAAGAGGAGTGGGACAAAATCCCTCCTGAGATGTGTGCAAACCTGGTGGCCAACGACAAGAAACGTCTGACCTCTGTGAGTGCCAACAAGGGTTTTGCCACAAAGTACTAAGTCATTTTAACACGTAGGCTTTCGCGACCAATATTATTCATGATAAAGGTTTTTGGGTTAGATTGCGTTATTTATAAATGTGTCGTAACCCTCCACCACCCGACACGGCCAATCAGCAAAAAAAGTGTCACGTTGACAAAAGACAAATAATTCATAGGAATAGGTTTTACCCTTTTAACTGGCACAAAAACTGACACCTTTATTCAAGGCATCATGTTTGCAATGACCACAACACAAGCAGTCAAAATGCAAACAAAAAAGACAACTCTGATAATAATATGCACTGTCCTTGAATTTGATTGGTCCACACCCGAGACAGCTTTTCTTAGAGCCTACTTTAGCCCACCGGTGTGTTGAAGAGTGAATCACTTGTTGTGGATTCACAACACACCGGTGGGCTAAAGTAGTGAATTATTTGTCTTTTGTCAACGTGACACTTTTTTTGCTGATTTGCCGTGTCGGGTGGTGGAGGGTTACGACACATTTATAAATAACGCAATCTAACCCAAAAACCTTTATGAGTACTAAGTCATGTTTTGCAGAGGGGTCAAATACTTATTTCCCTCATTAAAATGCAAATCAATTTATAACATTTTTGACATGCGTTTTTTCTGGATTTTGTTGTTATTCTGTCTCTCACTGTTCAAATAAACCTACCATTAAAATTATAGACTCATCATTTCTTTGTCAGTGGGCAAACGTACAAAATGAGCAGGGGATCAAATACTTTTTTCCCTCACTGTATTTGTATTCTTCCTGTGGCCTCACCACGATCCCGTTGTTTACAAAATTAGACCAAGAACCCTGAATGAATTTAGACAAAACGTAATTTAGGAACGGTCAAAGATTACACGTAAATCTAAAAAAAGTCCAAAAATAACTTCTACAGAGAATTAATGTATACATTAATGTTAATGGAATTCAGTTTGAAAATTGTTCAAATAAGATAACCCATTCAGTCTTGACCTATGGGCCACCCTGTATATTCAGCATAACAATAATTTGTAGATTAAATTTTTTAATAAACTATTGTTATGTACTCTAATTTTGGTCATAACATAAAAGGTGTTTTATATCTTAAAGTCAATATTTCGGTAATCTACCCTATACAGTACTTGAAATCAATATATCATCCAGTGCGCATGCATAACATTTCCAAGTGCAACATCAAGAAGTATTTTATTTTGCAGATATTTATGAGATGAACATACTGCAATAGTGTTCATTGTGATATGCAGCTCTAAACAATGAACTGTTATAAATTATGCAAGTCAGAGAAATGTGGAAAATAACTACTTTATGTATCTTGAATGAGATTTTCAGCAGATACTTATGAACTTTTTGGTCTAGTTCTCCTACTATACATACTCACGAACTTTTACTCTTTCCAATTATAAAAAAAACTGAGAAGTCGTGGAAACAGATATAGTCAATAATTTATCAATTTGAATCAATTATTCATAGACGTCACCCTGCCTCTTTACCATGTAGGATGATAGCCGACTCCAAAATGTCTTCTATCACCTCTGCACTGACAGTTTTCACAGCGACAGATAGCACCGTGGCTACAGCCGTCACAACAGCTACAGTTGACTCCTGGATGCAAACACATGATGGGAGCAGGTGTCACATCTTAACCACACAACCCCTAACATCAACATTAAAATAACAAGTGACATCCATTGTCAAAGTTAATATATCACATAGTATTTATAGTGAACGTGTATAAAACCAGTTGCATTTTTTTTCATGTCTTTGCATGCTTACCACAATCATTCACACTCTTTAAAACGTGTTTTTTTTATCTACAGTACTCAGAATAAATAACATGCAACTATAATTAAATTAAATGTTTTGGGTATATTAATACAGGTAAATCAGACTAATACAAAATTTTAAATTGTCTGATAGCTCATAGGCTGATGCAGTATAACTGCCAAAACAATGAGCGAGCAAAGCTGAGATTCTTGGTTCAGGCCCAAGATAAAATAAGGTTTGCAAGTATAAGAAGCCTTAATGATCTCAGCCAGACCACCAATGTGTGTAATTTTCTGTTTACAATCAAACTGAGCTATTTGGTTGATAGGCATTCGATGAATCACATTAAAATGTACCATGACAGAGTAAAAGGACAGAATTTAGACGTATAGTACCGAGCCCGTGGCAACTGTCTCCATGTCCTCGTGTTGCGGTGGGTCTACGTTCCATTGCTCGGCGGGGCAACGCAGCAGGCTCTCAGTGAGTATCTTGCCGATACTCTCAAGTGCATCCTTCAGAGAGCGCAGCGGCAACTCCTCCAGCACTTCCTTCAAGTTGAATGGGTCTGTGCGACTTTTCTACAAGAAACACCGTGAATATATGACATTTAACTGTTCCGCTGCATTCACTGGGCAAGTAACGATGTATTGACTAGACTGAAACGAATTCTAACGCTAATGGTATATGTACAACATCATTTGTGCAATCATTATTGTATGTTTAAGAATGCACAGATCACATGAAACCAGTCACTAGAGGCATATTTACCACAATATGAAATAATATCGAATATCAAGGTAAAATTGTAACATTTCACTGAATTGATGCATGTATTCGTGTTCAGGATTCCAAGTAAGGTGCTGGGTAGACTCCAGCTTCTTCAGAATGCTGCTGCTAGAGTCCGTACGCGCACACCATTTCGCGAGCACATTGCACACCTGCTCTCTTGTGTTTACACTGGCTACCAGTCAAGTATCAAGTGGATGAAAAGACCCTGCTGCTGACATAATCTCAGTGGGTTAGACCCACAATATTTGCAAGAATGGATCCGTGTTTACACTCCAATGAGGTCCCTGAGATCTTCAAATCGCCTTCTTCTAAGTGATTGGGCTTTTACCAGTGCAGCTCCCAGACTATGGAAAGCTTTGCCATTGGCAATGAGACAGAGTCGTTATATATAGATGTAAGTCTGTCTTGAAAAATCACATCTTAAATTGACCTTTACCCCTTAGTTCTGGGTGTTTACCCTGGTTCTGTTTATATCCTGCTTTCGATACATGGGGCACATAGGAATTCTTGCAAAAGGAATATGCCTTACAAATGATGTTTTTTTATATATATGCTAAATATAAACTTACAATATTCACGTTACACACAAAAAGCGTGTTCTGTTCGCATCATCCTTAAATAAAAACCTAACTGTAACCATCGTTTTTTTTCTTCTGTGTGCTGTGACATCACAACGTCCCCGCGTTCCATTGACTTTCTGGCAACAAGCAAACCGTACGAATATACTGCAGTGTACGTAGATAGTGGGTGCCAGGCATTTGTGACATGTTGGCAGAGGAGACGAGAGCCCTCACGTGTCGCTCTACGATCTCCAGCAGCCGTGACGGCGACTCCTCCTTGAGACTCTGCAGGAAGGTGTCTCGGGCAGGTGTCTGTTGCCCCTCCCAGCATTCGCCTTTCCCTTCGACGCAGCCATTCTCGATGGCTTCTCCAGCTATGCATGCACAGGGTTGTTAAGCGTGACACACGTACGAGCTTTTGAGTGGGAAACACCTCCGTTAAATAGGACAAGGTTCCACACCGTTAATTTAAAACAAATTTCGTTTCTTTATTTTTGTTCGTAAAACAATGTACAATAGTCATGTTTTTTTTGTGCCGTTTTTGACCAGTTCCCCAATCCTGTAACATGTCAAACATATACAGGTACAGTACTTACTCTTTGGTTCTATTCGGTAAAGTCACGTAAAATACAACAAAAAATAAAAAAAATTCACGACGTTTCGGCCACAACACAAGAAACGTCGGGAATTTTTTATTGTTTTTTTACGTGACTTTACCGAATAGAACCAAAGAGTATGGATCCTTGCAGTCGCAAAAGCTTTAAATCTAATGAGACCTATATAACTCACTACGTGTGGTGTCACTAACATCTGTGCTGTCTAACATCTGTACCGTAGCCGGGCGTTCATGAAATAGAGCCGAGCAAAAAATAAATAAAAGCTGTCTATCTGTAGATATACATCCTGTGACAACACTACATGCATGCACATATCATGCAGAATATGATGTAATAGTGAATGTTTATTAGCTTATCGCACTCGTCTGAGAAAGTGCGTGTGCCATCAGGCCCCTCATGTTCACACGCACAGACCACTCAACTAAGTTCACTTCCACACACTCACCTAGCTCCTCACCTACATACTCACCTTGCTCCTCACCAACACACACTCTCACCTCGACAGGACTATCCTGATTCTTACCACTGCATAAACACACCTTGCTTGTAACCACACAAATATATACCCTGCTCCACCACCACCACAACACGCACTGGCCTTTCTCCTCCCTTCTCCTTACTCTCATTCACCCTTCTCCTCACTCACCCCTCTCCTCATTCTCACTTACCCGTCTCCTCATGCTCACTCACCCTACTCACACTCCTCCTTACTATAACTTCTCCTCACTCAATCGCCCTTTTCACTCTCACTCACCCTACTCACACTCCTCCCCACTCATCCTTCTCCTCACTCTCACTCACCCTTCTCCTCACTCTCCCTACTCATCCTTCTCCTCACTCTCACTCACCCAACTCACACTTCTCACTCACCCTTCTCCCCACTCTCACTCACCCTTCTCACTCTCTCACCCTACTCACACTTCTCACTCACCCTTCTCCTCACTCTCACTCACCCTTCTCACACTCAATCATCCTCCTCACTATCACTCACCCTACTCACCCTTCTCCTTACTATAACTCCTCCCCACTCACCCTTCTCCTCACTCTATAACTCACCCTTCTCATCACTCTCACTCATCCTTCTCCTCACTCTCACCCTTCTCCTTACTCTCACTCATCCTTCTCCTCACTCTCACTACTCACCCTTCTCCTTACTATTACTTCTCACTCTCACCCTTCTCACACTCCTCCCCACTCACCCTTCTCCTCACTCTCACTCACCCTTCTCACTCTCACTCACTCTTTTCCTCACTCACTCTTCTCCTCACACTCCTCCCCACTCACCCTTCTCCTCACTCACCCTACTCCTCACTCGCCCTACTCACCCTTCTCCTCACTCACCCTTCTCACTCACCCTTCTCCTCACTCACCCTTCTCCTCACTCACCCTACTCACCCTTCTCCTCACTCGCCCTTCTCCTCACTCACCCTTCTCCTCACTCACCCTACTCACCCTACTCACCCTTCTCCTCACTCATCCTTCTCCTCACTCTCACTCACCCTACTCACACTTCTCACTCACCCTTCTCCTCACTCGCCCTACTCACCCTTCTCCTCACTCACCCTTCTCCTCACTCGCCCTACTCACCCTTCTCCTCACTCACCCTTCTCCTCACTCACCCTACTCACCCTTCTCCTCACTCGCCCTTCTCCTCACTCACCCTTCTCCTCACTCACCCTACTCACCCTTCTCCTCACTCATCCTTCTCCTCACTCTCACTCACCCTACTCACACTTCTCACTCACCCTTCTCCTCACTCGCCCTACTCACCCTTCTCATCACTCTCACTCATCCTTCTCCTCACTCGCCCTACTCACCCTTCTCCTCACTCACCCTTCTCCTCACTCGCCCTACTCACCCTTCTCCTCATTCACCCTTCTCCTCACTCACCCTACTCACCCTTCTCCTCACTCACCCTTCTCCTCACTCACCCTTCTCCTCACTCACCCTTCTCCTCACTCACCCTTCTCACTCACTCACCCTTCTCCTCGTCCTCGTCCTCCCACCGTTCCGCCGCCGTGAATTTCGCGCCTTTTTCCCGGGGTCCTGGGCGCAGGCGCGCCCCGGGGCTAAGGCGGCCACGGCGCCCGCCTGCGCTCTCAGCCTTAACACTCTACGCCTTCTCTTCAATACTAACACTGCATCACGCTACTTGTACATTAAGCTGCGTTTGTACTTCAAACTATATACCGTACTATATCGTCGCGTACACGGTGCGCTTGTACTTCGATGCCTTAGTAAATTCAAACGGATGTATTAATAATTAGATTCTGACTGTAGTAACGCCGGCGGTGTAACGCGATTCCCAGATTTCTCGCTGTCGACCAGCGAGCCATTCGCGGCAAATTTGTGGCATTCAAAAACAAAATATACGAAAGTCGACGTTTCGGGCAATGGCCCTTCTTCCTCGGCGCGATCAAAGTTTCAGTACATTTGCCGTGACTTGTCAGGAAATTCACTGATGGCTCGCTAACGCCCCCATCCAAAAAAAAACGAAACAAAGTTGTAAACTTTTCATTTAAAGCTTTCGTGACTGCAGGGATTCATATTCTTGGTTCTTTCGGTAAAGTCACGTAAAGTTCAACACGAAGGCTTTTGCGACCAATATCCATAAGAGGTTTTTGGGTTAGATCGCGTAAATATATAAATGTGTCGTTTAAACCCGCCACCACCCGACACAGCCAACTAATAAGGGTTGTCACGTAAAGAGAACGTGGCCAATTCAGTTTTCAGTTTATTTATTTTGGTATAGCCCTGTGAGCCATTCGGCTCTTGAATCGGGTGCAACCACAACAAACAAAAAAGACAAAAACACGAACAAGAAAAACATCTTAAAGTGACTATGTGACTGTGCAAACAGAAAATCCATGGAAAAAACAGCAAAATATTCCTGAAAAAAGCACCGTACACCAACGCTGTGTGCTAAAAATCCCAGTGGGATGCAAGTCAAACAACAACAACCACAAGAAAACTTAGATTAAGGCCATCAGTCTAACTCCGTACTACAACAAAACAAACATGTGCAAACCAAAAACGTTTTCGAAATCACCAAAAAATAAAGCCATAATTGCAACGTAACTGTGATTACAGGTACTGTGACCGAATTTTTACATTTAACTACATAAATAACATGTAAAACCAAATCCTAGAGCCATAGCTGGCTGCATGAGTTACTGCACAACAATAGAAGCATCAGTCGGAGTATCAAAATTTTCAATGCACCTTTAAGATCAGCACGCTAAATCAAAATACAGAATAATACTTTGCAGCGTCATCCGGAGCGAAAACATTTTATTTTATTTTACGCCAATGAATAGCAGTGGCAGCTAGGGGTGTACAACTCCTCTAGAGCAGTTTTGAGAGAATATCTCATTGGTAGCGATTCAAGTTGCAGTTTATTGCCAATAGCATTCCAGACCCCGAGTGCATCAATAGCAAAGGCCCTTCCTCCAGTTTTTGTACAGCAATAGGGAATGTGAAGCTAGTAAATGAGCGAAGACCTGAGGTAAAATTTGTTCTTTGAAACAGAGAGGAGATCCAGCAGGTAGTCTGCGGATTTTTTTGTAAGTACATCGTGAATAAATAAGATCTGGTGCACAAGCCGTCGAACATTAAGAGATGTTAAGTTTCACCCAATGTAGAGATCACAGTGGTGAGTCCTATATGGGCAGTTCAATGTAAACCTTAAGGCCGAGTGATAGATGGGATTAAGCTTCTTCAGTACAGTACTTGTGGCTGATTTATACACGATGTCACAGTAGTCAAGTAGAGGCAGTATGGTAGCTTTTATCAATTCTAAACGGAACATTGGGGGGAAGCAGTGCTTGTGTCGATACAGAAAAACTATTTTTGTCTTTTTACCAATATAATCAATGTGATCTTCAAAATTCAGTTTTGAATCCAGGATGACCCCAAGATACTTATAGATCTTGACTTGCACTATTTGATAATTATTCAAGTAATGTAATTGGGGAAAATAACTTCCTACTTTAGTCCTGGTGAGAAGCATAGCACCTTGGTTTTGCAGGTATTCAGGACTAGTTTAAGAGCAACTAGCTGATGTTGTAGTTTGTTGAAATCACCCTGTAGGTTAGCAATCATGTCATCCGGAGAGCGGCCAGCAGTAATCAGTATCGTGTCATCTGCAAAAAGATTTACCCTGGAATGACCCAGGTCAGTGCCCAAGTCATTGACATAAAGAGAGAACAAAAGGGGGCCGAGGATGGAACCCTGTGGAACCCCTTTTGTTATCTTAACACTGTTTGACCTCCAACCATCTGTGAATACAGTTTGGGTGCGAGAAAAGAGGTAATTTTGTAACCATTTTACTGCGTTTTCGGAAAAACCGAGGCAACTTAGTTTGCTAAGCAGGGTGTTGTGGTCTACTGTATCAAAAGCTTTGGACAGGTCTAGAAAAAGACAGGCACAGTACTGCTTATTATCAAGGCTACTGTAAATGTGATTCCGAGAGTCTAATGCAGCAGATGTGGTGCTGTATTTTTTTCGGAACCCAGATTGTTTTAGATGTAGTAGATTGTTGGTGGACAGGAAACTGCTCATTTGGTAAGTCAATAATTTTTCAAAAATTTTCATCAACGGGGACAAAATTGAGATAGGTCGGTAGTTATTTGGATCCTCTTTAGGGCCCCTTTTGTGAAGTGGACGGACATAGGAATGTTTCCATTCTAGAGGAACTGATGCTTCTTTGATGGACAGGTTGAAAATATGGGCAATAGGTTTGTATATTAGGTAACCAACAGTTAGTAGAGCAAAGACGGGAATACTATCTGCTCCGGTAGAGGAGGACCCTTTGAGGAAGGACAGTTGTTTCAGAACATTACTTTCGTGGATTGGCTGGAAACTAAATCGTTTAATGTTTGGACAGAGGTGTAGGAATTTGCATGAGCAGCGGTGACTCCCAATACATTATCAAAAAGATTACCAGCTTCAGAAAAATGAAGGTTAAAATTGTCAATTATAATCCGTGATTTAGTTCCATCTGTAAAAGATGCTGTTCCAGACATACAGTACCCGGGCGTTTACAAACTAAAGTGCCTCTGTGGTAGTAGCTACATTGGAGAAACCAAAAGACATATCTCGGACCGCATCCGCGAACATAAAGCAGACTTGAAACACGGTAGGACGAACTCCTCTGCCGTGGCAGATCACTGTTATAATTCAGTGGGCTCACATGACATTGACTTCTCCAAGACGGAGGTTCTTTGCAAACCAACCGGCTACCATGAGAGATTCGTTCATGAGGCCATTCACATATACAAGCACAGAGACAATTTCAACCGAGAAGATGGATTCAGGCTTAGTAACCACTGGAAAGATGTTTTAAATCATTTCTGTTCTTAATTAATTGTATTTTTACGATGACCTTCAGACCGCAGCTCTTTCGCCAGCATTGCCTCTTAATACCTCTCACACCACGGTTAATGGTATAGTTTTACAACATGGAGTATACTAGGGCCTCGCAGCTGTCTCTCTCCCCCTCCTCTGTTCCGACCATGGACGAACTCGTCCGTCTGAACGGGGCCCGTAGCTATCCGTGGTGCTGAAATTTGAGGGTAAGAATCCACCCATTTTTTTCGCCATATAGCATTGTGATATATAACGACTTATTGTTGATAGCTTAGCTGATTGGAGAATATAGAGTTTATTGATAACATGAAGGTAATTTATATTTTAGTTTTTATTGGTTCACTATATAGTACTGTGAATAGCTCAGATGTGTAGTCATTTCTGTGACCAGTCACTAGCTAATCACTCAGTTATTTCAATGCTAAATTCGCCTAGTTATTTCAATGCTAAATTCTCCTGTTTGATTTGTACTAAGTGCCTCGGTGAATGTGTATGCTCTGACTTTAACGTAGCTATTTCTGTAGCAGTTACAAGCTAATCACTCAGCTATTTCAATGCTAAATTCTATGCTAATTCCATTGTCAAGGGGTGCCTCTGCGGATGTGTATGCCTTAACTTAGCTATTTCAATGCTAAATGCTATGCTAATTCCTTTAACAATGGGTGCCTCTGCGGATGTGTATGCTTTAACTTTTAACATAGCTATTTTTGTGACCAGTCACAAGCTAATCATTCAGCCATTTCAATGCTAAATTATATGCTAATTCCTTTGTCAAGGCGCTTTGTTCCTCTCACACAGCTTAAAGGCCGTGATCTGAACGTGGCTCTTTCACTCCAGCGCTGTCCTACCAGACAGTCTCGCCCCTTCACCTGATGAAGGCCGCTTGTGTTGTGGCCGAAACGTCGTGAGAATATTATTGTGTTATTTTATTTTATCAATTTATTATTTTATTCTCATTCTACGTGACTTTACCGAAAGAACCAAAGAAGATGTCAACTATTTTTGGGGGATCTGAAAAATATTCCCCATTTCGGTTTAGCTCAATGGGCAGATTGTCTGTTTTGGATGCCTTTTCGATACATTTGATTGTTTTCCAGAAAATCCTGGCATTTCCATGTGATTCCAGGAGAGTGGAGGAATAGTAGGCATTTTTTGCATGCCGTATTTTTTTGACGCATCTATTCCTTAAAATCCTGTATTCTAGCCAGTCATTGACCAAATTACTTTTCTGAGCACATGCCCAAGCCTTGTCCCTAGTTTTCATGAGCTTTGTAATCAAAGGATCAAACCATGGTGGGTGGTTGCCTTTAGTTTTAAATCTAACCAACGGAGCATGTTTGTTAAGAATTTGGAGAAACGTGTACCTGGTCTCCCAAGCCGTAGTCCGGTTGGGGATATCACAGACCTTGTCAATATCCGAATGAAGCACATCATTAGCAAATGCCTGAGTGCTGAAGTGTCTCATAGAGTGCTTCTCAACCAAATTAGGGGGTGCTTTGGGTCTGGCTGATGATCTCACCCAAAAAATTAAGAAGTGATCACTAAGGTTATTACCCAGAACACCAGCCAGTGTGAAATTGTGAGGGGCATTTGTCAATAGGACGTCAAGCAGAGATGACTGTCCCGGATTTTTTAGGTTGGGTCTTGTGGGGACATTTATTAATTGAAACAGATTAAATTCATCTGCAAAATTTGTGGCCACGGCCGGCGGGTTTAGCCAATTTTTCACCTTTAGGGAGGCCCCCAAAAAGCTCTCAGTGCAGATGCAGCTTCAACATCCTTCCCACTAGGCAGTCGATAGCAGCACACTACCAATATCTGTTGATTATTTGGGAGAGTTATTTTGAGAGCCAGACCTTCAAAGCAACATTTTTTACACAAGGAGCTAGTGAACATGCAATAGTATTACGAACATAGATGGCAATTCCACCTCCTTTAGATCCTCGGTCAAGCCGAAAAAGGTGGTAGT